ATAGTGTTGAGCGACAAGGAGGAAGAGCCAATCATCTAGCCGGAAACTCAGAAACTGGGGACTGGCCTCTGTCTCTATCCGCCATGTTAAGATTCACCCCGCAGGGGTAGCAGCAACGCTGGCAGCGAACGGTCCCTGCACTGGCCTTTGGCAGGCGCCCCCCGGGGGCGGGAAGCTGGTAAGGAAGTGGCTGCGATTGCCTGGGGGTGGGGGTCACGTCGCACTGAGAGGGCTTGGGGAAGTTCAAGGGAGGAGTCCTGTAGAGAAGTGGGGCGACTTTTTCCCATGTCTGGGGGCAGCGGTTCTCTTCAGTGACCGGAGGGGAGAGCCGTTCGTGTTCTGAGGGGCCGAGGGGGGTCGGATACCGCCGGTGGGAGGGAGGGTCCGTGGCTGAGAACGGCCGGCTTTTGCGGATGGAAGGCCGAGACTCCCCCGGCACAAAGAGGGCCTGGATGCAGAAAAAACGAGAGTGTCCTGGGGTGGAGGGGTGGGAGGAGGGTGACAGTGTTTGGGGGACATGATAACTAGGAAAGGATAACTGGAAGACTAAAATGAAGTCCGCAAGGAAAGAAAAAAAAACAACAACAAAAATACAGAGCCTCCTCAATCCCATCCCTTCCTTTTAAGAACCTCAGAAGTCTCCTTGGTCAGGGAACTCTGGTATTAGAAAGGTGCCTTTTATTATTATTATTATTATTATTATTATTATTATTATTATTATTTTGTCAAACACCCAGCATTCTAGGTCCAAACACTTAAGTTTTCCAGGTCACACATTTTAATGTCCGGGATCTCTGTACAAGCCTCTGGTGGAGACAGTGATCCAAGCTCAGGTTCCCAGGCCTGTTTTCATTAAAGAAGTTTTTGGTATCCTGAAAAAAAAACCGGCATAGGGGAAAAGCTGACTTGTGCCAAGCAAAGGTGAGTCAGTGGCATGAAGTTGTGATGCCAGTTAATTAAAGCTGAAGGCCTCGGCCCCAGCTCCCTGACTTGACTGGCTTAAACTGACTGCAGGGACAGACGGGTCTGACCCTAGCCATAGCTTTGGTGTTTTCCACAAGTTCAAGATGAATGCTCTTGCTAAAAGAATTTTTACATATAAGCCAAACGGAAATAGGCAGTTCTCTACGAAGACCTGGATTTGATCCAGCTAAGCTAGCCTCCCCCACTTCCTGTTTTCTCGTCAGCCGCTCAGCTGGAGGAGCTCCAAAGTATCTAAACTAATATTTCCAATTGTGTAATTTGAGAAACGGGGGAGGGGGAGGGAAGATTAGTGTCCTCTGGACTCTGAAAAGTGTGGAAGTGTGTTTCTCCGAGGTTGAAAAGTCAGACTGTTTCAGAGTTCCCCCACTTTTGCAGACTGAATCAATCACTTCATTTCCCTATTTTTATTTTTATTTTTAATTTTTTCCCCCACAAGATTCTGGGGCGTTGACAGGAATTCTTTTCAAGTTTTAAGGACCTCCAAAATTGCATTCCATATGACTAGATGTCAGCAGGGTTGGTAGAAACCAGTATTATTTTGCTGATGAGCTTGACTCTAGGTGGAGACAAAGAATTTTTTTAAATGGGGGATAATTGTTTTTGGATTTTTAAAAAAATCCTTAATCAAACCTTCAAGGTCCTTTTTAATGACCTTGTATTGTTTCACCGGACAGTACATTCTGTGGAAAAACAGAACTATTTTAGATTCTAAAAATTGATTTATCATAATTTTACATTTGAATAAAATTTTCAAAGAACTTGCACACACATTTTTACTTGGTTCTTATGATAACATTGTGAGGTGGTCAAAGCAGAGATATTAGGCCTATTTTACAGATTAAGAAATTGAAGCTCAGTGGTTAAATAACTTGTTCACAACTGCATGACTAGTAATATGTCTAGAACCCAATCTTGTTCACGTATCTTCTGTGCCTGGATCAGAATCTGGCTTTTTGTAGATGCTTTATTAAAGTCATAAAAACAGCCGGGACCGGTTTGGCTCAATGGATAGAGCGTTGGCTTGGGGACTGAAGGGTCCCGGGTTCGATTCCGGTCAAGGGCATGTACCTTGGTTGCGGGCATATCCCCAGTAGGGGGTGTGCAAGAGGCAGCTGATCGATGACTCTCTCTCATCGATGTTTCTAACTCTATCTCTCTCCCTTCCTCTCTGTATAAAATTAATAAAATATATTAAAAAATAAAAATAAATAAAGTCATAAAAACAAATCAACCTAACAACTCATCAAAACAAAATCCTTAAGTAAAAACAGGCCCTACCAGGGTAGCTTCGTTGGTTAGAGCATTGGCCCCAAGGTTTTGGCTTCAAACCTGGGTCAGGGCACATACAAGAATCAGCCAATGAATGCAAATGCATAAGTAAATGAAAAAATAAATCTCTCTTCCCTCTTTCCATGCTCTTTCTCTAAAATCAATCAATCAATAAAAGTTTTTTTAATCCTCAAGTAAAAACAACAACTTTATCAGAATAGACATTCCTTTAAGGAATTGTTAACTTAGGCATGATAATACCATGTTTCCCCGAAAATAAGACCTAGCGCAACTTTGGGAGAAAAAATTAATATAAGGCACTGTCTTATTTTCGGGGAAACGGTAGTATTATGGTTGTTTTTTAAATTCTTATCTTTTAGGGGTACATAATTATTTTATAGATAAAATGATAGCCCTCGCTGGTTTGGCTCAATGGATAGAGCATCAGCCTATAGACTGAAAGATCCTGGGTTCAATTCCAGTCGTGGACACATGTCCAGGTTGCAGGCTCAATCCCCAGTGGGGGACTTGCAGGAGACAGCTAATCAGTGATTCTCATCATTGACGTTTCTGTCCCTTCTTCTCTGAAATCAATTTAAATTTTTTTTTAAATAAATGATGGCTGTCTGTCAGTGTCAGAATAATCCAATAAGTAAAGGGTATTGCTGTAAAAAGGTGAGTTCCTGAGTTGATGTTAATTATGGAAGATAGCTGTTGAGCCCATAGGGTTCATTAAATATTAATCTCTTTTTCTTTATAATATGTGTTTATTGGTTTTTAGAGAGAGAGAGGAAGGGAGAGGGATAAAAAGATAGAAACATTGATGAGAAAGAAACATTCATTGCTGCTTCTTGCACACCCCCTTCTGGGGATGGAGTCTGCAACCCAGGCTTGTGCCTCTACCAGGAATCAAACTGATGACCTCTTGGTCCATGGGTTGGGGATGCTCAACCACTGAGCTATACCATCTGGGCAATCTTTTTCTTTTTTAAAAAATATTTTTATTTCAGAGAGGGAGGAGATGGAGAGAGATAGAAACATCAATGATGGAATAATTGATTGACTGCTTCCTGTCCTTCCCCACTTTGGGGATCGATCCTGCATGTATCCATGACCGGAATCTAACCTGAGACCCTTTAGTCCCCAGGCCAATGCTCTATCCACTGACCCAAACCAGCTAGGGCTCTCTTTTTTATAGGTTTAAATTTCCCCATAATTTTTTGAAAAAAGTAGATTGCTATCACTTATTGTCCTTTAGACTAAAGGCAAGTGTAAAAAATAAATTGCTATAGTTTGCTTAAAACATTGACTATAGTCAGTCCACATTGAAGGGTTTGGGGATGGTAGGAGTATAGATGAAGTGAAGGTAACTGGAATTGATCATTGTTAGTTAGAAGTGTTCATTACTCTACACTTTTATGTAAGTTTGAAATATTCTGTAAAAGAGACTGTAAAAAAACAGGTGAACTTGAATGAAGGGTGTTGAATGCTACCTCAGTGTAGTTTCTTGGCTAGTGTTTTGGCCTCTAAGTTGTTAAAATTGATGTAATAGAGAAACTGGGCTGCTCAATTTAGAAAAAGATTTCCAAGAAAAGTATAGGATGTTGTTTTCAAGTTACAAAAATATACTACATAATAAAAGGGGCCCTAACTGGTTTGGCTTAGTTAATAGAGCATCAGCCTGCAGACTGAAAAGTCCCAGGTTTAATTCCTGTCAAGGGCATGTACCTTGGTTGCAGACACATCCCCAGTAGGAGGTGTGCAGGAGGCAGCTGATTGGTGTTTCTCTCTCATCAGTGTTTCTAACTCTCTACCTTTCTCTCTTCCTCTCTGTAAAAGATCAATAAAACATATTAAAAGGGTAACATGCAAATCAACCGAATGGTGGCACATCTGGTCTCTATGACGTGCACTGACCACCAGGGGGCCGATGCTCAATGCGGGAGCTGTCCCCTGGTGGTCAGTGCACTCCCACAGGGGGAGCGCTGCTCAGCCACAGGCTGGGCTGACGGCTGGAGAGTGCCACCGCAGTGGAACCTGTCACTGCTCCACCTTCACAGCAGCCCTAAGGATGTCCCGCTGCAGCTTAGGCCCTTTCCTCCCTCCCCCCCTCCAGGCTGAGGGACACCCCTCCCCCACCCCAAGTGTACAAATGTCATGCACTGGACCTCTAGAAAATATATAAATTCCCTGGCAGTAGGGACCTAATGCAATTTACTTATCTTGATATTAGAAGATAATAGGTATCGGTTTAGTTAACCAATCATTATATGTTTTTATTGATATTTTTAGAGAGAGAGGAGAGGAGAGGAAGAGAAACATTGTGCCATTGCCTCCTGTAGCACCCCAGCTGAACCCGAAATCTTGGCATGTGCCCTGACTGGGAACCCAACAACAGCCTTTTGTTCCAAGGGGGTGACATGCTCAACCAAGTGAGCCACACTGGCCAGGGATTAACCAATCACTATGAAGTTCCAGAAAATTCTAAAGGATTTTATTAGATGATTTATGTAGATGTGGCCAAAATTTACATTCTCTCAGCAAACATTTAACCTTGAGATTTGTTTTAAACCACCCACTACGTTGTTAAGTAGCAGAAGAGCAGACGTTGTCTTTTCATTCACTGCTGTGTCCTCCGAGCCTAGCCGAGCCTAGATTAAATCCTCATAAGCATTTGTTGAAATATGTTTATGCAATTTGCACTCTTTCTAATGTTTCCTCTCTCCTCTCAACTCTAGCACCACAGCATGGAACCGCAGGTTACTTTAAATGTGAGTTTTAAAAATGAAACTCAAAGCTTTCTGGTTTCCGATCCAGAAAATACAACTTGGGCTGATGTCGAAGCTATGGTGAGCATTAATTTTATTTTGTTTCTCTATCCTTGAACCATAGGTTTCCCTCCCCGCAGAGGTAGCTATTTTTAGCAGTGTTTCATAGCTGCAGAGTCTGTCATATTTACCATTTCTGAGCCTTTTGGAAAATTATTTTTGACAAAGGTTCAGTATTCAAATAGGAGATGTGCCTTAGTAAAGGGAACGAATAAATAAGTTTCTTTTGAAGAGTTTAGAAAGGCGAATGTTTTTGTTTGTTTTTTTAAGTGAGATAGGACTTAGAAAACCTATTCATTTTAGAACCACTCTGAGGAATGAATTGGTGTGGGCCCCACCCTAACCAGGCCCCAGAGGAATGTTCTCTTGCGTGAGAGCAAAATATGTTAACTGTGGTTTGTGAACCATTAAGGGTATAATATATTTTACAAGAATTGATTGATTGCTAGGTCAGAGTTTATCTCAAAGTTAAGCAGGAAAAAACTACCGGTGCTTAGACAGAATCTCATATATTTCTTTTTTATTTCTTTTTTTAAATTTGTTTATTTTTGTTAATGCTTTTCCTCCTCTTGGTTTGCCCTTTGTACTCTTGCTTTGTTTGCAGTAGTGAATGTTTTACTTGCTGTATAACTGTTTATCTAACCAACACTTCGGTAAAAACCTACTTTTACCTAGTTAGTAAAAACCTCGTAATTGATTATGTGTTATGGCAACTAAAAAGGAAAGTAAATGGTAGAGAGACCACAAAATATGGTCTGATCTAGCCTTCTGTCTTTCTACACATAATTTCTTTTATACTGTCCCAGACAAATGGTTATGTGGAAAGTTGGATTCTTATTTGTCAAGTAATCTGAAAATCAAACATAGTTAATCTTTTTTTCCTAGTAGTTAAATGAGTTGACAACTTGCCTTTTTAGTTTATTGTAAATGTTAAATCACAAAAGTGTAATACGTGAGCCTAACCGGTTTGGCTCAGTGGATAGAGCATTGGCCTGTGGACTCAAGGGTCCCAGGTTCGATTCCAGTCAAGGGTATGTATCTTGGTTGCAGGCACATCCCCATTAAGGGGTGTGCAGGAGGCAGAAGTGAGACAGTCCAAACGTATATAAAGAAAAAGTTAATTTCTCACCTCTCTGGGGTAATACAGATATCATATTAGGATCCTACTATAAACATTACAAGAATATTTTTTAATTTATTTTTAAATATATTTTATTGATTTTTATTTTATTTTTTTTAACAGAGAGGGAGAGGGATAGAGAGTTAGAAACACTGATGGGAGAGAAGCATCAATCAGCTGCTTCTTGCATACCTCCTACTGAGGATGTGCCCGAAACCAAGTGCATGCCCTTGACGGAAATTAAACTTGAGACCTTTCTGTCCGCAGGCCAGTGCTCTATCCATTGAGCCAGACCAGTGAGGGCCAAAGTATATTTTAAACATAGTTTTCAAACTAGATAAGAAGTCAAGCTCATTTTTTTTTTTTGAATTACAAATTGTCCACATTATTTGTATTGGTGTGTTATTATATCTTAACCATTCCTTATTGAAAGATTATAGTTTTTTTTAATTGAAATGTAATTGACATTTTAATTAGTGTCAGGTGTACAATATGAGTATATTTATATACTGGAGGCCCAGTGCATAGATTTGTACACCAAGGGGTCTTGGATTGCGAGAAGGCACAAGCCAGGCCAAGGGACCCCAACAGTGCACGATAGGGGCCAGGGAGGGACTGCAGGAGGGCTCCAGGTTGTGTCTGGCCGGTCTCGCCCAGACCTGATTGGTGGGACACCAGCAGCTTTTGCCCCCTGGTGGTCAGTGCAGGTCATAACTGGTGGACCAGTCGAATCAGCAGTCAGACACTTAGCGTATTAGGCTTTTATTATATAGGATACCAACAATAAGTCTAGTTAATATCTATCACCATACGTAGTTACAACATTTTTAACTGTAAGTTTGTACCTTTGACCACCTTCACTTATTTCACCCACCTTCCACCCCCTGCCTCTGGCATCCACAATGTGTTTTCTGTGTCTGAGTCCATTTGTGTGTTTATTTTTAATATTCCATATGTAAGTGAAATCACTCATTATTTTTTTTTAATATATTTTATTATTTTTTACAGAGAGGAAGGGAGAGAGATAGAGAGCTAGAAACGTCGATGAGAGAGAAACATCGACCAGCTGCCTCTTGCACACCCCCTACTGGGGATGTGCCCGCAACCCAGGTACATGCCCTTGACCGGAATCGAACCTGGGACCTTTCAGTCTGCAGACCAATGCTCTACCACTGAGCCAAACCAGTTTCAGCTATTTGGGGTTTTTTTAGCATAATGTCCTCAAGGTCAAAGGATGTTGTATGTTTTTTAACCACTATAAAGTAAACCATAGGGGCTAGCTTTCTGTATATAACTTATACACTGATCTATAGGATAAAGTTTTCCAAATGAGATTAATGGGTCACAAGACATGTGATTTTAATTTTTAATGAATATTGCCAAACAATTGTAGCACCACACATAAATATATTACAATGCACTAAATTTTTGACAATATTGGACATTATGGCTTTGAATTTTTTTTATTTTTTATTTTTTTGCCGTTCTGTTGGGGTGACAGACATTTCATTGCTTTAATTTGCATTGTTCTTTTATTTTTTTAAAAAATATTTTTTATTAATTCCAGAGAGGCAGGGAGAGAGAGAAAGAAATAGAAACATCAATGATGAGAGAGAATCATTGGTCGGCTGCCTCCTGCTAACCCCCTTCTGGGGATCAAACCCGAAACTCAGGCATGTGCGCTTGACCGGAATCGAACTCAGGACCCTTCAGTCCACAGGTTGATGCTCTCTCTCTATCCACTGAGCCAAACCAGCTAGGGCTAATTTGCATTGTTCTGACTACCATTAAAGCTTAACATCTTTTCATGTATTTTTTTTTTTTTTTGCATATCTTCTTTTCCTATGAAATTTCTGTACATTTTTGCCCACTTTTATCTGGATTGTTAATCTTATGATTATCAGTTTTGCAAATGCTCTTCATGTATTGCAGACATTAACCCTTTGTCTATTTTATGAGTTGCAAATATTTTCTCCAGTCCATTGTTTGTCTTTTGACTTTGTTTATGGTGTGTTTTTTAACCATTGGAAATGTTTAATGTTTATGTTCTGAAATATGTCCATCCCTTTATAAGGTCTAGATTTCTGTTACTAACTACCTTTTTGATATCTTGATCATATAGTATGTTTATTTCATTTGCAGGTAAAAGTTTCATTTGATCTGAACACTATTCAGATAAAATACCTGGATGAGGAAAATGAAGAGGTAAAGTATATTATGATACCCATTGCCAGGCATCCAAATAGGGATTTTCCTTTAAGACTTATGTGGGGCTTAAAGAATTCAGAATGCTATTTATCTCATTTGTGTAGTGGTGTATATGTATTTGATAATTTCGTGTTCTAAGCTGACTTATAGCATTTGAGATGGAGTTGAGAAATGGGGAAGCAACATTGAAGAAGAAAATTTGAGAGAGAACTTTTAAAACTATGTCCTGATCTTAAATTTAAATATATCATAAGTTGCCATTTCATTTATAATAACAATAATACTGGCCAACCTTTGTTGAATGGTTACAATGTGTCAGTCTAAAAGCAATACTATATATTAAGTACTTCATTATTATCACTATTTACATGAGGAAGCTGAGACTTAGAGAGGTTAATTAATAAACTTACCCAAAGGCACAAAAGCTGGGAAGTAGTAGAGGTCCATCCCATACCTTCTGGCTCCAGAGCCCAGGCTCCTAGCCATTATATTATGCTGCTCCTTAATGTATCTGAAATAAAGAAGAATAAAATAGTTAAGCAGTAAAATTTCTTAACTATTAATTACAACTAGTTCATGGTACTAGAAAAGCTGAACCCCTGATCTGAGATTTTGCATCTATCCTGTGAAGCTGGTCCTAGTAAACCGCTCAATTGATGAAAGATTTATAACTCACTGCTGCTTTTTTGTTCTTTTACAGGTATCCATCAACAGTCAAGGTGAGTCAAAAGCCTTCATCTGTTCATTGGCATATGCATTTCTACATACACTGAATCTTGTTGCAATGTTAATTTTAGAGTAGAATTTGGTATACAGTAAATTGACATTGCACTCATTTATCCATGGACTTAGTTACATAGCAAGTTTTTATTTTACGGCAGTTTTTTTTGTATCTTTGTATCTAAAGGTTGGTGCCTTTGGTTGGAGCCTAAGGACAGCTTGTTTAAACAAAATCCTCACCTCAGGATTTGTTGTTGTTGTTTTATTATTAATTTTTGAGAGAGAAAGAGAGAGAGAAAGGCATCAATTGGTTGCTTCCCATTTGTACCCTGACTGGAATTGTACCCTCAACCTAGGCATGTGCTCTGATTGTGGATCTATCCTCAGCCTCTTGGTGTATGGGACAACGCTCCAATCAGCTGAGCCACCAGCCAGAGCAGAGCCTTAAGATAGCTTTCATGGGAGATTCTCTTAAGTTTCGGTGCTAAATTCTCTTAAGTTTTGGTGCTAATCTGAACTGCCTCCCAGTCCAACACATAAAATTTGTTCTGGTATTATGTTTGTCTCTGACTTGGTATATATGTTAATGTCAATTCACAAACAAGTGGTATTCTAGAAGTTTATTTATAAGATGATTGTTCAGAGGTTGGAGTATATTTTGCCACAGGAATAATGTTATATTTGAAGGCTAGGTTCCCAGGCTATCCCCCAAAAACTTATTTTAAGCAGCTGAAATGATAGTTTTTCATGAACATTGAGTCCTGAGTTCCATTAAGCCTAGTGTGAGGGATCTGGGTGGAGGTTTGGTAACTAGAAGGCTCCAGTATCAGAGAGGAAATTAAAGGGGAGAATTAAACTGCAAATAGCTTCTATTTGCAATGTAATGAGAAAAGAGTGTCAGCAAAAAGATAGTAGCTGTTCATTTGTAAGGATTGTAATTCTTAAAAGTAAGATTGCTGTACTTAGAATCTTTTGGGCTGATGAAGAAATATCACCATATGTATTTTTTTGTCCTTTTAGGAGAATACGAAGAAGCACTTAAGGTAATAGTTATTGCATCTTATTTTCAAATAATTTTTAAAATGTTTATTGACTAGCCGAAACCAGTTTGGCTCAGTTGTAGAGCGTCGGTCTGCAGACTGAAAGGTCCCGGGTTCGATTCCGGTCAAGGGCATGTACATTGGTTGCGGGCACATCCCCAGTGGGGGGTGTGCAGGAGGAGGCTGGTCGATGTTTCTCATTGACGTTTCTGGCTCTCTATCTCTCTCCCTTCCTCTCTGTAAAAAAATCAATAAAATATATATTTTTTTTTAAATGTTTATTGACTAAAACTTGAACCTGAATTCTATTGGCCATGAGGAGAAACTAATGAATATAAATAGAGAAAAACCTATTTTTAGGGAAACTATAATGAATGGGGCATGCCACTCAGCAAAAGGCAGCCCCAAATATAAAGGTTTTTTTCAGTTATCATTCCATCTTATTACTAGTCTTGGTGCCACCATCCTAGCATTTAAAAATACAAAGAACTCTTTGGAAAGTACTTTCTGGTTGACATTTTTATCTTCTTCACCTTGATCTCCCTATAGAATATTGCAGTATAAAGTGGGAGAATTTAAGGTGTAAAGCAACCAGTTACAAACAATGCCTTGTCTGTCAGTGATGGATCAGAGCATTCCTCAAGGTCACTTTAAGAGTGTGTGTGTGTGTGTGTGTGTGTGTGTGTTTAAAAATACATATATATATATATATATATATATATATATATATATATATATTGATGAGAGAGAAACATCGATCAGCTGCCTCCTACATACACCCTACTAGGGATGTGCCCGCAACCAAGGTACATGCCCTTGACCGGAATTGAACCTGGGACTCTTCAGTTCACAGGCCAATGCTCTGTCTACTGAGCCAAACCAATTAGGTCAAGGTCATTTCTTTAAAGTGTGGCAACAGTCCTTTAATTACCATCTTTAAGGTTATTCTTTAATATTTGACTGTTCTTTATGAACTTCCAGTCCAAGACTAAATTATTTTCCATAATCACTTTTAGTCTAGGGAGGGAAAGGCAAGATTTTTTTCATTGAAAGTTGGATTTACCTTTTTTGATTTCTGGTCAAAATTGCTGTTCTAGTGCCAAGTGTTTCAGTAGTTTAGCTGATGTCTTTCTTGGTTTTTACTCAGAAATCTTACCAGCTAGTTTCTTGGTTTTGGATATTCAGGCCTTTCCCTGGATTCTCTTAAGATATCCATCTCTGTTAATATTTCATGCTTCATAATTTCCCTCTGCCCTAGTTTCATGTGGTCTTCCTATTTCCTTTCAGCTTTTAAGCTTTTTCAGCCTGCTGTCCTCCCATCCCCTTCAATCTTACCCAACTTTTCCTGGCTTTTCTCTTTCTCTATTCTCAGAAGCTATAGTAGTCTATATAAACCAAGACTGAATATATATATATATGTGTGTGTATATATGTATGTATATCCTCCTGTGTAATAAAAGCCTAATTTGCAACTTGACTGCATAGCAGAAAAACCGTTTGCTCTGACGCACACTGACCACAAGGGGGCAGACACTCAATGCAGGAGCTGCCCCCAGGGCAGCCAAGGTGGATGCCAGCGGGAGGGCCCCCCCCCCCCCCGCCCCGCCCCGTGCCCCACAGATCAGCCTTGATCATAGCCAGGGCTAGGAACCTTACCCTGTGCACAAATTCCATGCACTGGGCCTCTGGTGTATGATACTACTAAATACTTAAGATTCCGTGTTTATATTTAGACACGTTTTCTTGAGCAATTTTATCTATGGGCTCTACCACATCTTTTACTAAAAGCTTCTTGATTTATGCTCTAAACTAGGAGGAGTTGACACACTGTACCTAGTGGGCTGGCTATATGTTTTTATGAAGTTTTGTTGGAACACAGCCAGGTCCATTCACTATTGTCTGTGGCTGCTTTTGTTTTGTAACAGATTTGAGTAGTTGTGACAGAAACTGTACATGGCCTGTAAGCCTGAAATACTTATTATGTGGCCCTTTAAAAAGTTTGCTGATCTCTGATTTAAATAATATCTTTGAAACTTATTGACCATAGAATGGTCTATTAAAATGAAATATTGAAAGGTCTTATGTGTAAAATACATAGCTTGTCACTGGGTGACAAGTGGGAGAAGTTAAAACCCCATGGACTTGATTTCTTAATCTCTTGGACATTGGAGTACCTTCCTGGAACCTCAAATACTCCTGGAAGTCATTTTTTTCCAAAATAGGATGGTCTTCTTAAAAGGTGACCACATAAACATGCTTTCCAAAATACTATTCTTAGTGGGAAAATAAATAATTATAGGACATAACTATCAATAAGTTTCCCTCAATTCTGGTAGTGTGGGGTTGACTTTTTTGAAAAGTTGAGATGAAAATCCATAAACGTGAAGACTTACATAAAAACCAATTAAACAGAAAAGTGGTAACCCAGTTAATGAAAACATCTGATAAAGTGCTGCACTGAAAACCTACTTTTGTGTTTTTAATAACAAAGCCATTCTTAGTTAACATTCTTGACAAAGAAACAGCAGGCTGACATGTATGTCCTTTGACTTCATAAAATGAACATTTTCCAGCACAGTTCACCACACCTCTTCTGTTTGAGTGTCTCTGAATTTTCCTTTGGGAAAGGAGAATCACATGATGTTTTTTATTTCATGACATATGCTCTCAGATGGCAGTTAAGCAGGGAAACCAACTTCAGATGCAAGTCCATGAAGGCTACCGTGTTGTTGATGAAGCTCCACCCCCAGTTGCAGCAGAAAAACAGCCAGTTTCGAGGACAGGGAAAAAGCCACTGGCACATTATTCTTCACTGATGAGAGCCTTGGCTTCAGACATGAAGACTCCAGAGGAACCTGCAGCACAGGTATGAAGGGATTGGACCTGTCTCTACAGTTTTTCTAACCTTAAGTTTCATTCTCTGGTGTAAGATTTGAGCTCCAGAAAGATTGGGAGTTATGGTGACCATGTCAGTCTGACTTTTTAAAACTGGGAACAGTGGAACTTTTGGGGGTGGGGGGGGTTTAAATAGGATGACACAGACTTTGTTTTCCTTTTTTATTTCTTCATACTGTCTTTTTTTTTTTTTTTTCTTACCCACATATTTTGACAAAAAACTCAAAATAATACATTTCAGGAAATTTATTTTAAATAGAAATAAAAAGTAACCTGCAAGATCTTGGATTGTGTTTTCTTGCAGCAGTTTCCGCTTGCTCCATCTGATGCAGACCAGCGTCAAAACAGGCCCCCCGACTGGTTCACAAGCTACCTGGAGACAGTGAGTGTTCTCTGTGCCTTGGGTCTTAGCAGCGATGTGTGGAATGTGGAAGAAAGAGAAAGCTGCACCCAGATGGCTGCTGCCTCTGGTAGCTAATAATTTCCAAACTAGAGCAGTTCCAGTAAAGAAAGCTCTCCACTTTTGCAGTGATTTAACAGAAAAAGAGGGTATGTAGTTCTAAGGATGTACTAGAAAGAAACAAATCTCTATGCTAGAGAAAGAAGAAGTTGGAAATATATTAATCAAAAGGTTTTTTGATTTTGATTTTTTGAACCATTTTAGCTATAGGAGAAATAGACCTTTTCTATGTTTCTGTTCATTCGTTCAGTAGATATTAGCTGCTTAGATTATACTAGTAGCCCCGTGCACGAGTCTGTGCACCAGTTGCTCTCCACCGGGCTTGGCCGCCCCTCACCCGCTGCCCAGAGGCTCTCAGCGGCCCAGAGGCCCATCCACAACCAGGCACAGAACGCTTGCCTCCTGGCTGCGTGATGAAGCAGTCATTCCACAAGGCTGCTCACGCTACCCACTGTCCGTGGCCACCCCCTTCCTTCCTCCCCCTCCCCCCGGGATTGGGGGACTCCAGTGGGGCTGAGAGGACTGGGTGCCACCATCTTGTGACTGTGGGCGCTGACATGTCTGACGGATGGTTAATTTGCATATTACCCTTTTATTAGATAGGACTGGAGGTCCATTGCATGAAATTCATGAGGAGTTCCCCTCAGCCCAGCCTGCACCCTCCAATCGGGACCCCTCAGGATGTCCGACTGCCAGTTTAGGCCCGATCCCCAGCAGTTGGACATCCCTCTCTCAATACTGGACTGATGGTTCATTGCTCACCTGTCTGCCTGGTCGACCCTAACTGTCCTCCACTGCCAGCCAGGTGGCTCCCAACTGCCCCCTCCCTGCCAGCCTGGTCGCTCCTAACTGCCCCTGTCGGCCTGGTTGCCCCATGCAGCTTTCTTGTTCAATTGTTTGGTGGTCCCTCACTAACACCCCTGCCAGCTTGGTCATAGGCAGCCATCTTGTGCGGGTGTGATGGTCAATTTGCATATTGCCTCTTTATTATGTAGAACTATTTAATATCTTCATGCCTTTTCCCAATATTGGAACTGAGGGGTTCCCCCCTCCCATCTTCTGCTCTGTGTTATAGTTCAGAGAGCAAGTGGTTAAAGAAACTGTTGAGAAACTTGAACAGAAGTTACATGAGAAGCTTGTCCTCCAGAACCCATCCTTGGGCTCCTGTCCCTCAGAAGTCTCAATGCCTATTTCAGAGGAAACACTGTTTTTGCCAGAAAACCAGTTCAATTGGCATATTTCTTGTAGCAGCTGTCAAAGGAGGATCTTTGGTGTGCGCTACCAGTGCAGGTAAGCAGTAACTTGGGAATAACAGCTATTAGTCGACCTGAAAGCAGGCCTTTCTGGCATTCTGGGTAAATAATGGGAAATTAGATGTGCTCTATCTCCGAGTATCATACATAGCAGCTCTGATTGGAAGCAAGCTATTCTTCACCCACAAGAAAACAATAATGATTTGAATAACTATTCAGATTGATGTGTTCAGATATACATTTGAATTAACAGAGCAGGACAAAATTATGTCCGCCCCCCAAAAAAAAAATTACATAACCAAAAATTGTCTCCCTGTTGTTCTAAATACTTCCATATCTTGCTTCCTCCCATAGATTATCCTTTGAAACAGATATAAGTTAATTGTTTCTGTCCTCATTTTATTAATGAGGAAAATTAATACATGGCATGGTTGGGTGGCATGCTCAGGTTACTACCTAGCAGGTAATAGAGCAAATATGGAAGTTTGGTCTCATACTCCCTGTTTCATATATTTCCCACTGTGCCTTTCCCCCCCCCCCCCCCCCCCCCCCCGCAGCCTGTGCCCATCCTACAACATCTGTGAAGATTGTGAATCAGGGCCCTATGTCCATGACTCCAACCATGTCCTGCTGAAGTTGAGGAGACCTGTTGTGGGTTCCTCAGAGCCGTTCTCTCACTCGAGGTTCTCTACTCCTCGTCTTCCTGCTGCTCTGGAACAAGCCAGGTAAACTGTTTATAAAGGGGATGTGTGTGTTCTGGCGACAGACTGAATCACAAAACCACAAATAGTCTACTTATTCCTGGCTCATTTCTAGTTGATGTGCATGATGAAATGGAAATGAGAACTGCAGGAAGAAGTTAATTTTATTAACCAATGTGACCCTAATAAATTTAGTTTTTAAAGAAAGAAGAGACTACAGGTAGCTCCACTTAGCTTCAAGATATGTTTTATTTATTTATTTATTTATTTATTTATTTATTTATTTATTTATAAAATATATTGATTTTTTACAGAGAGGAAGGGAAAGGGATAGAGAGTTAAAAACATCAATGAGAGAGCAACATCGATCAGCTGCCTCTTGCACACCCCCTACTGGGGATATGCCCACAACCAAGGTAAATGTCCTTGACCAGAATCAAACCTGGGACCTTTCAGTCTACAGGCCGACTTTATCCACTGAGTCAAACCGGTTTCGGCTGTTTTGTGTGTTTTTTTTAAATATATTTTATTGATTTTAGAGAGGAAGGGAGAAGGAGAGAGCATAGAAACACCAATGATGAGAGAGACTCATTGATTGGCTGCCTCCTGCACACCACCTACTAGGGATCAAGTCCACAACCGAGGCATGTGCCCTTGCTGGAATCGAACCGGGGACCCTTCAGTCCACAGGCCGACATTCTTATCCACTGAGCCAAACCAGCTAGGATGTGAGGTTTGTTTTTAAGACTATCATTTATTGTCCCACAGGCTCCAGAAGCAGGTTGACAAGAATTTTCTTAAAGCAGAAAAGCAGAGATTGCGAGCTGAGAAGAAACAGCGTAAAGCAGAGGTCAAGGAACTTAAAAAGCAGCTTAAACTCCGCAGGAAGATTCATCTGTGGAATTCCATCCATGGACTCCAGAGCCCCAAGTGTCCCTTGGGCCGACCTGAGGGCCTCCCACAGGCTAACACCCTGATGTAAGCCCAGGGCAGGGCGGGAGCCGAGTCTTGAGGACCAGCCCTCTAAGGCTAGTTCTTCAGCCAACCAACATCTCTCATATTTATTGGTAGCTCCTAACAGCCACACTCTTAAGTTTCCCATTCTCTGATCCGAACATTTTTAAAAAGGGTGGTCTGGTAGTTATTTTTGACATTTCCTTTGTTGCCTTCTTCAGAAAGATAGAAACCAGTGAGGTTCAGAACTGGTGGTGTGAACTCTTTTCACTGGAGAAAGTCTGGATTTGAAGCAAAAAGAGCAGATATTTTAAGTCTGACTCTTCAGTTGTTTTATTTACAGATCCTCATAGCTTTTTAATATATTTTTATTGATTTTTTCACAGAGAGGAAGAGAGAGGGACTGAGAGCTAGAAACATCGATGTGAGAGAATCATCGATCAGCTGCCTCCCACACACCCCCCACCGGGGATGTACCCGCAACCAAGGTACATGCCCTTGACCTGAATCGATCCCGGGACCCTTCAGTCTGCAGGCCGACGCTCTGTCCACTGAGCCAAACCGGTCCCGGCAGATCCTCATAGCTTTTTAGTTCCAGCGTCAGATTTGTCTTCTGATTGTTAAAGAATGTTATTAGTATTACTTATAAGGTAAATGCATTAGTGCATCCTCATGAGTCAGAGCCTCACACTGCAGTGTTGGATATTCAGAAGCTATCACATCCAGCAGCAGGTGACTCTGAATTTCTCTCCAGGCTCCCTTTGCAGCCCTGTGCCCCAGTTATGCCAACCCTCAGTGCAGCGTTTGTGGATGAGAATTTGCCTGATGGGACTCACCTTCAGCCAGGAACCAAGTTTATCAAACACTGGAGGATGAAAAATACAGGAAATGTAAAGTGGAGTGCAGATACAAAGGTATTTTTCCCCCTCTAAAATGTGAAGATGAAGTGATTTGAAGTGACAGTGCTCAGCTAACAAGCTTTCTTTCTCTCGTCACTGTTCATTTCAGCTCAAGTTCATGTGGGGAAACCTAACTATGGCTTCGACAGAAAAGAAGGATGTTTTAGTCCCCTGCCTCAAGGCTGGCCACGTGGGAATTGTGTCTGTGGAGTTCATTGCCCCAGCCTTGGAGGGAACATACACTTCCCACTGGCGGCTTTCCCACAAAGGCCAGCAGTTTGGACCTCGGGTCTGGTGCAGTATCATAGTAGATCCTCTCTGCTCCACAGAAAGCTCTGGTAACATTGAAAAGGGCATGATTAACTCAAGCACAACTGATGATCTCATCTGCCAGCAAGAGGTGAGCACTGGGCCGGGACCGGTTTGGCTCAATGGATAGAGCGTTGGCTTGGGGATGGAAGGGCCCCGGGTTCGATTCAGGTCAAGGGCATGTACCTTGGTTGCCGGCATATCCCCAGTGGGGGGTGTGCAAGAGGCAGCTGATCAATGACTCTCATTGATGTTTCTAACTCTCTATCTCTTTCCCTTCCTTTCTGTACAAAAATCAATAAAATATATTTTAAAAAAAAAAAAAAAAAAAAAAAGAGGTGAGCACTGGAAGAGGTGACCAGCTAAAAGTGCCCATTCATAGCTTGTTCTTTCAGAAATCTGGAAAGGTTGTCTTCTCCCTATCCCCCCAAAACAAGTGATTTGAAGTGATATTGGGCATACATACACTTATATTGGGCATAGTACTCGGGGGCCGTTGTTTGTGAATCCTGAGGATCTGGTGCAGTGCTCCTCGGTGTTTCTGTGACTTCGTAATGATGCATTGCCAGTCTCTCTGCTACACTAGGGGAAGTAGGACTGCCCGGCTGGCCTGTGGAACTGCTGGACTGATGGCTTTGCCCCTTAACATTCATCTCTCCTGGGTGTCCCTTGTGTGTGTCCCCTAAATATAATGAAGTCTTGCCCTAGTTGTTACTTGCAATTTTTTTAGGCAATTTCCCTGTAGTGATGGGTACTTTATAGAGTGTTTACTGTTGAAATTTAGTTATCCAATGTTAATGTCCTGGTTTTGACAGTTGTTACGATGGTTAATCTAAGTTGTTGTCGTTATAGGAGCTAGGTAAAGGGGGTAATAAGTGAACTCTATACTAGTTTTGCAACGTTTCTATAAGGTGCTGCGGTGTTCGTCAGCTTGCCTTGTTGAGTCCTGTTGAAAGGCCTAAAATGTGTCCCAATGGTTTTTCTCTGTAGGAAACTTTTCTTCTGGCTAAAGAAGAAATTCAGCTTGGGGCAACTGAACATACAGAAGGGACAGGAGCCTACCTCCCACAGAAGACAACAACTGTTGCCAGCGAGAGGGAGCTCTACATCCCATCTGTGGACCTTTTAACTGCCCAGGTGGAGGATTGAGCGCTTCGAGGGGCAAGGGACAGAAAGCACTGGGGAAAGAGTTCTTAACTTGTTGAAGAGAAGGTGGTAGAGCCATAGGTGGTGCCCAGAAAGTGAGAGATTTGCCCACCGTGATTCAGTCAGAAGCACTGGATGGCAAGATCTATAGAAGCGAGTTTCTAAACTAAACGCTTGCTTTTTAAATTGGGAACTCATGCTTGTGCTTTACCCCAACTTCCCTTCAGTTGCCTCTTCATATGGGTTCTCCCTCATCCCCACTGCATTTTCTCTCTCTTCTACCCCTTGGTTATTTGAATGTCTAGTTTCCATTTAACTCTTCTTCTTTGTTTTCACTTGGCTAAGGGGCATGAGTTTGAACAGAGTTCCATCTAGGATGATGCGGAGCTCAATGGCCTTGCAAATCCTGTGAAGACAAAACATTACTCCAGTGTGTACAGCCTAACATTGCCTATTTCCCCCCAGGATCTGCTGTCCTTTGAGCTGTTGGATATAAACATTGTCCAAGAATTGGAGAGAGTGCCCCACAACACCCCTGTGGGTAAGACTCATAAAATCCACCTCATTTTATTAACAGGCATAAAGGAAGCTAGGTAAAGGGGGTAATAAGTGAACTCTGTACAATACAAGTTTGTAGAAGGCTCCCCACCATAAAGGGACCTCATCTCCACTTTGCTGTAGATGTTTGTGTCCTTTTTTTTTTTTTAATATATTTTATTGATTTTTCACAGAGAGGAAGGGAGAGGGATAGACAGTTAGAAACATCGACAAGAGAGACACATCGACCAGCTGCCTCCTGCACACCCCACACCGGGAACATGCCTGTAACCAATGCACATGCCCCTGACTGGAATCGAACCCGGGACCCTTGAGTCCGCAGACCGACGCTCTATCCACTGAGCCAAACCGGTTTCGGCTGTTTGTGTCCCTTTGTTCCTTTATATTCATGGTTCTGTTTTTGAAATTGCCTTCTGGACCAGACAACTGCTTATGATCCTTCCTGCATTGCTTCATCTGCCAGAGACACTTATACCTAATAGTCTAGAGAAATTCCTTACAACAGGTCTTGTAGCATACCTGAGTTTATATTAGCCCTGTAAGAAGCAAGAAGCCAATGAGCTGCTGCTTTTAAACACTGACTATTGATAATGTGATGTTTTTTCTTGGTTGATGGTTCTCCTGTCTTCCTTTTCCAGATATGACTCCCTGCATGTCTCCTCTGCCACATGACAGCCCTTTAATAGAGAAGCCAGGCTTGGGGCAGATACAGGAAGAAAGTGAAGGGGCGGGACTTAAAACTCTCTCTGGTAAGATGTTAAATATTTGTAAAGTATTTCCATCCTCCCCTTTTATACCACACCATTTTTATAGATACCCCTTTCTCCCAGCTAATCCTACCTTAGCTTATAAGTGGTTTTTCTGTAGCATCTCATATTAAGTCCCCTCACGCTGACATGGCGTAGATAGCATCCATTCTATGGTGTAATATGGGTACATGACTGGAGAAAGGTTCTTCGCACTTAAACACCAAATGTAGACAAGGTTCATGTCTTTCAGATTCCACAGCATCGGTAAAGAGGAGGGCTGAGAAGATTACTTCAGTGGAGGAGGCAGAAGATGATCTGAGTGGGACCCAGTTCGTGTGTGAGACTGTAATCCGATCCCTTACCTTGGATGCTGCCCCAGATCACAACCCACCTTGCAGACAGAAGTCTCTGCACAGTGAGTGTCCCGAATTCCCCCACACAGGAGGCTGGTGTCTGAGTTGTGATTGTCAGACCTGAATAGGTAGAAGTGCTCTCCTTCACTGAGAATGGAGGCAAGGTGATCTTTGTTAGAATTCGGATCCTGTTTCTTTCGATTCTACATAGTGTACCTGGACTTTTTATAACAATTAGCTTCAGGAGCAAAGCAGCCACCCTAACTCATTTCTATACTTTCCCAGGGCAGAATTACAGATGCATGCCACAGAGGAACAGCAGCTAGTTGTGCTGCCTGGATTCTGCGGGAAGGAATCTTCCTGTAAGCTGCAAAGCTCCCTAGCAGAAACGCCCATTTGGCAGCTGAATTGTCTCTTTTCTCCAAGAGCAACAGTCCCGGAAATAGTGGGCAGAAGCAGGAGTGCCGAACTAAGTTTCTCCAGTTTAAATTCTTCTATATTAAGTTTCTCGATAACAGAAATTTCTAGATATCAGATAGGTAGAACCAGTACTGCATATTTCATCTTTTCCAGTTTGGATGCCTTTTGTTTCTTCTTGTCTGATCTCTATGGCTAGTACTTCTAGTACTATGTCAAACAAGAGTGGTGAGATGGGCATCCTGTCTCGTTCCTGTTCTTAGGGGAAATGGTTTCAGTTTTTAGTACTGCATATTGATAGGCATAGGGAAGAGATCTCCCTACACCTATCACATATTTCAAGAACTATCCAAAAATTCAAATTCTAGTGCATCAAAATAATGTGGGAAAAATCTTGTTTATTATTAGGAAATTTGACCTATAACTTTTAAGTGTTATTTGTTTTACTTTTGTTTAAAATACTTACACACAAACTTGTGCATAAATGCCTAACTTAAAAATCTGGAAGAACTTACCATCAAAATGTTCACTGTAGTGCCTTAGCCAGTTGTGGTTCAGTTGGTTGGGCATTTTTCCATGCATAGAAAGGTTGCCAGTTCAATTCCCGGTCAGGGCACATGCCTGGGTTTCAGGCTTGATTCTGGTAAAGGATGTGCAAGAGGTAACCAACAGGTGTCTTACTCTCACATTCATGTTCTTCTCTCTCTCCCTCTCCCTTCCTAAAGTAAAAAAAAAAAAAAAAAAAAAAAAAAAAAAAAAAAAATGTTTACAGTAGTTATCTCTAGGATTATAGGTACTCTTTTTTTTTTTTTTTTTTTTTCCTTACCAGGTTTTGCCAATTTTCTACCATGACTACTCATTACTCTTCAAAAAGGAGGAGGAAAGTAGGCACATAGTCCTACAACACTCACTACCTAACTTTTTCTCTCTTTATAGCACTGAAAACTGGCATATCAATTTTGCTTTGACCGGTCTCAGTATATTAAACATTACATGAAAAGGAAAAGGGATGAGGCCTCCTAGTTTTAAGAATCATAGAGCTGCTGAAACAGGTTTGGCTCTGTGGATAGAGTGTCAGCCTGAGGACTGAAAGGTCCCAGGTTCGATTCCGGTCAAGGGCATATATCTTGATTGTGGGCACATCCCCAGTGTGGGGTGTGCAGGAGACAGCTGATTGATATTTCTCTCTCATCAGTGTTTCTAACTCTATCCCTCTCCCTTCCTCTCTGTACAAAACCAATAAAATATTTTTTTTTAAAAAAATCATAGAGCTGCCAAAACTGGTTTAGCTCAGTGGATAGTGTCGGTCTGTGGACTGAGGGGTCCCAGGTTCGATTCAGGTCAAAGGCATGTACCTTGGTTGCCTTTGCACCTTACCACAAGCACCTCCAGTGGGGGGTGTACAGGAGGCAGCTGATTGATGTTTCTCTCTCATCGGATGTTTCTAGCTCTCTATTCCTCTCTCCCTTCCTCTGTAAAAAAATTAGTAAAAAAAAAAAAAAAAAAATAGAGCTGAGTTCTGGGTGTTCCTGCCTACCTTGTTTTTGTGAGCTTCAGTTTTATTCAGCTTTGCTTAGGCTTCAGACTTAGAACATGGCCATCGTATGGTTCCAGCAACAACCCTCCCCTTGGCTCATCCCTCTCCTCTGGCTTTTATAACTAGCTCATGACCCACAGGCTTTGACAGGAAAGGGTAGCTCCAGGGGCTGCTCTGAGCTTATGCCTTAAATTTGGTTGTTTTCATCCTTCAGTGAAATTTGCCTCACATGAAGAGGGACCACTTGGAGATGAGAGAGAGGAGATGGTCCATATCTCTGAGGAAGAAGCTATTGTGGAGGAGGAAGAAGAGGATGAGGAGGATGAGCTCAAAGATGAAGTTCAGAGTCAGTCCTCTGCTTCTTCAGAGGATTACATCATCATCCTGCCTGAATGCTTTGACACCAGCCGCCCCCTGGGGGACTCCATGTACAGCTCTGCCCTCTCACAGACAGGCCTGGAGCGAGGGGCTGAAGGCGAGCCTGGGATTGAGGCTGGCCAGGAACCAGTTGAGGCTGGAGAAACACCCCCTGGAGGGGAGAGCCAGCCGCAGGGGTACAGCATCAGTGACATCCTCATGACCTCACAGACTCTGGACACAGTGCCCCTCACCCCAGAGGTGGTGGGCCCCCCACCACGGCTGCCCAGGTACCATCCACACCCCCTTCAGCAGGGCTGTTCTTCAAAGGTGGAATAAAGAGAGAGGAATTAACTTGATCTCAAACCTGTTTTGTGTGTGTGTGTGTGTGTGTGTGTGTGTGTGTGTGTGTGTGTGTATGTGTGGCATGTACGTATGTGTGCATGTAAAGAGACTATTTCCCATAGTAAAGTCTGAATTTAGATGAATAAAAGTTGTACTTCACAGTATTTGTGGATTCTGGATTCAAAGAAATACCGTTTTAGTTAACCTTAACTATTTGAGTATCATCTGTCTACTTATGTTTTGATCATTGAGAGCCAGTTTTTAAACACAAACATCCCTCGACCTTCTCTCCCTGCTCTATTGACTCATGGGCAAAGGCAGCAGAAACTAATCCTCATATTAACCCAACAGAGTATAATTAGGAACTTTAAGAAAAGAGTATAGTATAAAACCAGAGAGAAGTTAGTTTAATTCTCTACTGGGTTCTACCTGTGTCATTGCTCTCTCATAGGATGGGAAATGATAGAGCCTGGACTATAATTTATATCATTTTCCCAGGGAGCTAGACATGGCCCTTTATCAGCACCAGCTGATATAGGGGGAAGTGATTAAACTGAAGCAGTCTTTCTAGCTTGACTGTGTCTGAAGAGGAAAACCAGAAGGAGAAGGAGCCCTTCTCACCTGATCCCTAAATTCAGATATGTGATCCGGATCAGAAATGTGAAGCTTCTGTAGAGAATGTGGCACTGTTTCCCCACCGTTACCACGTGTGCCTTTTCAACTTACTTTCAATGTTGTGTCTTTCTGAAGGAGCCCTCCTTGTGCACAGCATCTTGGCTCCCCAGGAGTGGATTTACCAGTTACCATACCAGAAGTTTCTTCAGTCCCTGATCAGATCAGAGGAGGTAATGACCCGCCTAAGCTTTATTTTTTTTTTTTCTAATGGAAATCAAGTATAAAAAGGCACTCAGTCTTTGTGATTCTTGGCAGTTTTTAGAAATTTGCCTTTCACTCTTTCTGTGTGCCTCCCTTTCCTATTGTCCAGCTTAATATTTATTAAATTTGACCGCACAGAGGTCGGCAGTGTGCTGTACTTGAAAGAACACAGGCTGTAGAGCCCAACCAGTCTAGGTTCCAGCCCCAGCTCCATGTGTCCTCGCTGTGGGACCTTTCAGTGGTTTGGCAGGTTTACTGGTAACACCTGCAGGTCTGTTTCCTTATCTTCAAAATAAGGAAAATAGCACCTTGAAGTTCTGAGGAGAACTTCAAAAGTCACTTCCTACTCCCTTAAAAAACAAAACCTAAAAGTAGTTAAGAACTAATAAACTAACATGATAGGGTTAAAGAATTACTTTTTCTGATTTTAATAAACAGTCACCTTGCAATGCATTCTGGACAGTTCCTCCGTATCCCTTAAGCCACCTGGAAATTTTCCCAAATATTAAAAGAAGAAAAAAAAAAAAAGAAAAAAAGCCCTTAAACACTGTGATGAGATTGCCACCTGCCTCAATAATAGCCTTGCTCTGAGGTAGGAAACAACAGGCACTGTGGATGCTGCATCTAACCAATAGCTCTTTTGCTTTTAGAGCCCAGAGGCTCATCAGGACTTGTAAACAGCAGACAGAAGAGCTATGACCACTCAAGGTAATGACCTTGTGCAGCCTCTTCTTCAGAAGCAGGTGGATATCCTAGTATTGCTTCTGCTCAAACAAGCCTTCTCGGAGCATGTGCCAGTCCACAGAGCAGAGGAGGCAGCCATCATTCTTTCTTGTTCTTATTTCTAGAACTTGTAAGCAACACTGAATGGAAGGTTAAAATTGATGTTCAAAAGTGTCACATTCCATACCAGAAAGAGGGTCCTCAATACAACTCACCCTTAGCACCAGAGGAGAAGGCAGGAAGGTCAGGCCCACTGTGCATCTTAGTAACTAGACACACCTGCCCCTCTGCTCCCAGTCCTCTCGGAGCAGAGGTGGGCTCCTCCCAACTAGTGTCCAGAAAACATTCCCATTTCCTTTGGGAGGTTCTCTGAGGTGATTGAGCAGACACTGCCCATACCCCACACTGCCCTGTCCACATTAATTTTCAGCTGGGACTGAAAGCTGGCATGCTAATTAGCATGGTGTGTTTTTTGCAGTGCCCATACCTTGCAGCAGTAGAGCTGGGCCCTACATCAAACCAAGATTTATAGCTTTGAAATTGATAAGAAAACTTACTCTTTTTTACAACTTTTTTTCCTCAAGGAAATTTCACTTGCTTTTAAGGATTAGAACTTAGGTTATCTTGTAGGAAGGTAATGGTTTGTGCTTTTGGGGGAGATAATTCAGTTTTCTTCCACAGGCACCACCACCATGGGAGCAGCATTGCTGGGGGACTGGTGAAGGGGGCCTTGTCAGTTGCTGCTTCTGCATACAAGGCCTTGTTTGCTGGACCACCAGTCACTGCACAGGTCAGTGCATCATTTAATTTCAGAACCAAACCCAAGCCATCAATGAAAACTATTGTCATCTGAGTTGGAGAGTAGCATGGCATTGTAGGAAGCATAAGCTTTAGGTTTAGTCTTTGGTTAACACCCAATTCCACCACTTTTTAGCTGTATGACTTTGGCCAAGTTTCTTATGCGAGGAAAGGAAAAACACCTAATGTTTTTTGATAAAAGCATGTGTGGAGCTCTTAAGAGACTATGATTAAATGGTTATAAGTCAGGTATAACCCAAAGTTTCTGACTTAGGCAATACATAGTACCATTCATTAAGAGAGAATATGCAGGAAGAATATATTTGAGCAAGAGGAGAAGAAAATTAGATCAGTCTAGGTAGTACTGAATTTGAGGCACATCCAGGTAAAGTTATCCCGAATTCAGTTGAGAATGTACACCTGTCTTACAGAGAGATTTGGCCTGGAGATAGTCATTTGTTTATAGGTTATAGCAAGAGCCATGTGATTGGATCAGATTTTCCAAAAAGACGGGAAAGCAAGAAGCAGCCTTTAAAGATCATGGAAAAAAGGAGGGCCCCTTTAAAGAGAAAACTGAGAACTTAACGGTAAATGGGAGCGTTCTGTGCTAGAGCTTGAGTAATACCTGGCCAGAGCTTCAAATGTGCAGAGAAATGTGAACAAGTGGAAAGGACTCTGATAGTGCAATAATGCCTCACTTTCAAGACAGCTGAACTACCAAGGAAAAAGAGAGTAAAAGCTAGGGTACTTAAGTCAGAGGGAAACAATTTTAAAGATGGGCTAGCTAGTAGCAAAGGAGATTCAGAGTCAAGATGAGAGAGGATAATTAATAGAAAAGGATTTCTGAGGTCATGATAATTAATGAGATACAAAGTCCATGTGGAAAGATTAACTTGGCAAAAAGAATGGATAATTCTGAAATGAAAGAAGAGGGATGCATGAAGGGAACAGTGGAATTAGATATAGAGGGAAACGGCATTCAACACATCTACATACTTTCTCACCTTAATCCTTTCAATGCTGCAAAATAGGATGTATTCTGTACCTCCATTTTCATAAAGAAGGGAATTGATACATACCAACACAGTAAATAAATGGTTAGAGTCAGGGTATTCTAAGTGTTAGGAGGATTTAATAAGGTTGTGTCCACCATAGAATTTTTCCTAAAGACGGAGTAAATGAATGTTAGCCCCCTCTGACCTGGATCACTTATATTCTTTCTTTAATATTTTATTGATTTTTTACAGAGAGGAAGGGAGAGGGATAGAGAGTTAGAAACATCAATGAGCTGCCTCCTGCACAACCCCCACCGGGGATGTGCCTGCAACCAAGGTATATGCCCTTGCTTGGAATCGAACCCAGGACCCTTCAGTCCACAGGCTGACGCTCTTATCCATTGAGCCAAACCGGTTTCGGCCACTTCTATTCTTTTTTTTTTTTATATATATATTTTATTGACTTTTTACAGAGAGGAAGAGAGAGAGATAGAGAGCTAGAAACATCGATGAGAGAGAGTCATCGATCAGCTGCCTCTTGCACACCCCCTACTGGGGATATGCCCGCAACCAAGGTACATGCCCTTGACCGGAATCGAACCCGGGACCCTTCAGTCCCCAAGCCGACGCTCTATCCATTGAGCCAAACCTGTCCCGGCCGGCCACTTCTATTCTTAAAAAATAAAAATAAAATCCTAAAAGATCACCTAGGATATAATTTTCCAGGCAGTTTTTTCTGCAGCTCTTTTGCATCTAATTAAATTTCCCATACTAACTTCCAGTAACACTCTCATCTCTTGCTTATACTTGTCCCATCCTCACAAGTACCTTTATTTTCAGAGTTTGCATCTTTCACTTCATCTGGCCAAAGAATACTTTCTTCTGAAAGTCCCCTCTGAAGCATCTTCTCCTGGCTCTAAGGCCAGACTATACCTAATTCAAAACAGATGCCCTTGCATCTACCCACCTAATATTTTTAATAAATCTGGAAAGATTAATATGACTTGCAAGATAACATGTAAATATACAGACAATGTTCTGCTTTTCTTGACTCTTCACAGCCAATAGTTTCTGAAGACCAGACAGCAGCGCTGATGGCCCATCTCTTTGAAATGGGATTCTGTGACCGGCAGCTGAACCTGAGGCTGCTGAAGAAACACAACCACAACATCCTGCAGGTTGTGACAGAACTTCTTCAGGTCAACAACAACGACTGGTACAGCCACCGCTATTGAGAAGTGACCATGTATTAAATAACTTTGCCTGCTGCTCAGAGATGATCTTTATTGTCATTGGGGTGTGGGGCAGAAGCCCTTGCTTATTTTTTAATCTAATGAATATGACTAGAGCCCATCATTGAATTGTCAAGACAATACCTGTATTACATTATTTTTTGGAGCAAATCAAAGACCAGTAAATTTTCACTTTAAATATTGAATGAGTAGTAAAAAAAAGACAGCTTTTCAGTTGATTTGGATAAAACTCCTTTCTCCATTTTAGTGCGTTGGAGAGTATAACTTGAACTTCTTATACCATTTTTTTTTTGCTTGTATTGAAGTTGAATATTTTTCTTGGTTAATGCTGATGTTTGTATGGGGTTATATGTTGTCAGTTTTTAAAAGAAATTCACCCTGAGCCCTAGCTGGTTTGGCTCAGTGAATAACAGTGTCAGCCTGCAGATTGAAGGGTCACAGTTTTGATCCCAGTCAAGGGCACATGCCAGATCCTGGGCTTGATCCCCAGTAGGGGGCGTGCAGGAGGCAGCCAATCAGTGATTCTAATCACTGATGTTTCTCTCCCTCCCTCTCCTTCTCTGAAATGAATAAAAATACTTTTTTTAAAAAAAGAGAGGGAATAAAAAGAAATTACCTGAAAGTTGTTTTCAAGAATTACTTACAATTTCTCTATCCTATCCCAAGGCTTAGCTATGTGGTATTAAAATGATACCCAGAGCATGATAGGAATGTTAACTCTTCCTTTCTCAAAGAGAAAGTAATTTCCTGGAGACTTAGTAATTGGCATGTTGTTTTTTAAAGAATCCCTACTGGAGGAGAGGGGAGTGTGCTAATTAAACCACCAGCTCCTTTTGAGCAGTGTCTGTTGTAATTTTACATACATTTTTCTTTTATTTAAGGGAGAGAAAATTAGGTAGTGCTAAATGTTTTGCTAATCCTATAGAGCAGTGGTGGGGACCCTTTTTTCTGCCGAGGGCCATTTGGATATTTATAACATCATTCTTGGGCCATAGAAAATTATCAATTTAAAAATTAACCTGCTATATTTGGTCAAACATTTAACTCATCCCTAATGCCGTGGCAGGACCAGACCAAATGATTTTTCTGGCCTTATAGGCCCGAGGGCCAGACATTCCACCCCACTCCACTATAGAGAAATAAAAAAACTTATATTAAAGGGAAAGAAGATTTAACAGTTACCTTTTTTTTCTATGTCAGGGCAGATTTTATTTACAGTAGAGTTGGGGAGGGGGTAGAAACAGAAAAAGTGAAAAGCAGGCTCCTGTGTTAATCTTGGCAAAGTTCAAGGGTGGGCAAATGAGTATGTGTGAGGCATAGGAAATCCTGATGACTTCCTGGAGGTTTAAAATCTATTCAAGGGTACCTAGCCCTAGAGTCTAGAACAGAAAAGAGAGGCTGGTTGGTGTTTTGCAAGGAGTTAGATGGGACAAACAGCGTTTTTGACCCCAGGATGAGTGGAGAACTTGCTGCTATGAGTGCAGGTCATCCCTTTGTTTGCAGGAGAGTCAGAAATAAGGTAGGCCCCAAGTTGTGGGTCCGGGTAGAACACAAAACACGCTCGGGAGCCAGGCAGCAAAGCAAATACCTTTACTTCTACATAGAAGGGTGCGCACACCTGGTCCGGAAGCACCTGCACAGGAGCAGGTGGCCTGCTTGGCTTTATTCTCTGTCCATGGGACCTGGCCTTCCTTACTGGAGCTCAGGCGCACAGTCTTGCACGATTGGCTAATTCAAAGGGAGGGGTTGGCTTTTGGGGTTCAAGATTCGGCCCCAGGGAAGCTGTAAGCCAACACGGTGGCTTACGCCGCTGTCTAACCTGTCCCCTGACAGGAAAGGTGGCTTGTGTATTCTGCCAGGTCTTGGGTGCAGTTGGTGAAGAAAGAGGTTGCCAAAAAACACTAAACGATATATTCGAGAAAATGACTTAAAGAAGAACCTCAGCAGCCCAAAAGGGGAAGGATAGTAAAATAGTATTTCACCTGGTTGGTGCTATGAGTGACTTTAACATAATGATGTTTATTTACAGTATCATTCTCGAATGCTAATTAATCAGCCAGGGTTCAGGCCAGCCAGGCTGCCCATTATTTAAAGCGTTTTTATCTGGCTTCTGGGCAGAGGCTGAGCGGCTGGGTGTGTGTAATCTATGGGGTTGATGTGGGGCGGGACTGCTTTGATCTCGTGAGTCTTATTGTCGGGCCCTGGGGTGTTCGCCCGCCCCATTGTACTTGTACATAAGTGCTGGAAAGAATGGTGAAATAAAGGTAATTTGAAAAACCTACCTGGACTGGCTGTCCTTGTGGCTGGGCCTGAGTGAGGAGCATCTCTGGCCGCGGGTCCGAGGGGCGGGCCCTGCGGGAGCGGCGGAGGGGGCGGGGGCGGAGCCTCCGAGGCCCCGCGTCAAAGCCGGGCGGGCCCCGCTCCGCACTTTCTATTCCGCTGCAGCCGTTTCTGCCGAGTAACCGCGGGTAAGGCGCTCACGGGACCCTCTTGCTGGGAGGAAGGGGCCAGGCGTTCGCGGCTAACGGCCTCTGCGGGTGTCCGGCGGGCCGTGACCTCCCTCCTCCGTGAAACGCCAGCCTCTCCGTCCGCTCCTCGCCCCACCCGGCCAGTGGCCTCCCCGGGGCAGGGCGGGAGCAGCTTGGCTCTGCCACCCCACTCCCCCCAACGCGGTGCACTGGGTCCCCCGGGACTCTGCGGAAGGCCCCCTGCAAGCCCTCTTCCCCCCGGACGCAATCCCAAATCTCCTGCAGCTGAGAGGAGCCCGGATCTCCGGCTGGACCAGGAGGGGCCCGTTATCTGGGCCCAGGAAGGGCTGTGCGGCTCTTCCTACCCACTCATTCTGCCACCACGCGAGTTGGGGGGCCAGAACCTGGCTTAGCCTTGGCCTTTCCTAGTGAAGGACAGATGCTCCCCTTCCCTCCCCCCCTCCCCGCCGCATCATTTCTGACCCCGCCTCAGATGGCAATGAGGAAGAGGTTTAGGCTCCCTTCCAGGTTATGCTAGGGGTCTTCGCCTCACCAGTGGCCCGTCTAGCCCCTCTCTCTTATTGCAAAGAAGCCCTGCCTTCTTAAAGCCTGCACCTGCCCAGGCTCAGGACCGGGAGCTCTCCTTCCACCCCCGGGGCTGGGAGATCTCAGGTGTTTCTGCCCCGGTGCTCTGGAATCCTCCTGAGAGTCATCCTGTTTAGAGTCATTTGCAGGAAGAAGGGACTCCTGTCTGCTGTCCTCTGCCTTACCCAACTTACTACCCCTGAAGTGAATGCCTGCTCAGCAACTTTTCCAGGAAAAAATAGGAATTTCTGTTCACTTACAAAAGTCCCTTTAAGTGAAATAACTTCCTCTTCTCCCTCTCGTGGGCAGATTGAGCGTGCCTGCAATAATGAAAGCAGTTGGAAATGCACTGAGATTTCTGCCCCGAGAGACCAGTGTAACTGCTCAGTTTCCTACACCCTAGCTAGCTTAGGCTTGAACTTGCAGAAAGGGTGGTGGGACTCCTTGCCAATCTTGAGAACCTCAAACCAAATTGACACCCACCATCAGTGCGAACAAGCTAGCACTGAGCTTCCCTCTCTTCTCATTAGTGAAAAGGCCCCCTCAACAGATGGGTGAGACGTTCTCCCAGCTGGGCGCTCAGGAGGATGAAAACACTGCGGTCCTGCCCCCTGACTCATCCAGCCATGGGGGCGGCAGGTTTTTTTCTGCCCCTTGCGAAAGGGCTGCTGGTGCCAGCTACGTGACCTGTCCCACCTGCCAGGGCAATAAGGAGATCCCTCGAGGTGAGTGGCTCAAGGCTCTGGAAAGAGCCTGCAACCCAGGCAAAGCTCTGGGCAGTCAGCGCCCGTGGCCAGGAGCCTCTGAGACGATCCTTGAATGGGGGTGGGTCTCCCAGCTCTTGGTCCCCCAGGGTAGGGCTGGCCAGGGAGATGCTAACCCTCCCGCCCTGGTCGTCCTCCCCAGCCCCTGGAGTTCCCAGCCTCTCTGCCCCCCTTAGCTACAGGGTGCCTTCGGATTCAGGAAGTTACAAAAGGCTTCTCCAGAGAAGCTGGACTCTAATGAAGAAATGCCAGAGATTCTTCACATCTGCTTAGGAAAACCTCACTTTCGTTCTGGCGATGGCAAACGTCAGCAATAGAGAGCAGGGCTCCCAGTTCTGCTGAGGGGCAGAGGTGGCACGCTTCTGACGTTGCTCTGGGGTGGGGGATAGAGGGGTGCTCCTGGCAGATTGGCACAGGAGGCATTTGTCATGGACACCTCTGGGCCCTCCCTCTCTCTCCTTTCTCGTTACAGAACTAGAGAGGCAGCTGGTGGCCCTCATCCCCTATGGGGACCAGAGGCTGAAGCCCAGGCACACGTAAGCTCCTCTTCCTACCTCTCTGCTCCACAGGCGGTCGCCCCTGGGGCTGTTCCTCTCTGTCTACCCCATTCTGCCTCCCCCCAGATTTCTCTCCATCGATTCTCCCTCAAAACACCTGGGCTTCACTGGGCTCATAGGTACTGGCCCTGTTTCTGAGGGTTTTCCTGGTTTCAGAAACCCCAGGCATAGCTACCTTTTAAGCCACTGGTGTCCTTCTGAGCGTCACTGCCTCCAAGAAACATGGCTCTCCCCCCCCCCCCAATTTTTTTTTTTTTTGCATTAAATTTTGACAAATTCATCTAGTGTTTGCTTTCTTCTTCAACTGCTTTTTTTTTTTTTTTTAATGAGGAAGGGAGAGGAAGAGAAGGATAGATACATCAAAGATGAGAATCATTGATTGGCTGCCTCCTGCACATCCCACCCTGGGGATCATGCCCTGACTGAAATCAAACCGTAACCTCACCAAAACCGGTTTGGCTCAGGGGTAGAGCGTCGGTCTGCAGACTGAAGGGTCCCAGGTTCGATTCCGGTCAAGGGCATGTGCGTTGGTTGCGGGCACATCCTGGTAGGGGGTGTTCAAGAGGCGGCTGGTCAATGTTTCTCTCTCATCGATGTTTCTAGCTCTCTATCTCTCTTCCTTCCTCTCTGTAAAAAAAATCAATAAAATATATTTTAAAAAAAACAAAAAACACCATAACCTCCTGGTTCATGGGTTGACACTCAACCACTGAGCCACACCGGCTGGGCCATGGCTCCCTTTTGAAGACAGAAGACCTCTTGACTCTGCAAGACCTTCCATTAGGGAGGGAGTGGTCCTGGCTGCAATCGGTTTGGGGAAGTTATTTTTCCTAAGAGCTTCCCCCACTGTGGCAGTTCAGACGTGCTTGTTCTCTTCCCAGTAGAGATGGAAAACCAGCTGCTCCCTGTTTGGAGACACTTCAGAGCCTTAGAGGCAGCCCTGAGTTTCTCTAGGCCGGGGTGAGGGGTGTTGTGACCCTGATCATCATCTTATCCGTTTGACAGGATCCCTGCAGGCCCCTCCCAAGATTCTCAGCTTCAGTCTGGAACCAGCACCCAGCCTCCCCTCCACTACACCAGAGCACTTACAGGGTGCTCTGTAAGGCACATCTCAATTCTAAATTAAATGGCAGATGGTGTCCTGTTCTGAATATTCAGAACTCTCAAAATTCACGTGGACTGGCTTTTTCCAGTGGTAATAGCTAGCATTTGTTGAGCTTTAGCTATGTGCCAGGGCCTGGGATTGGTGCTTTGTCATGCACTAGCGGATATCAAATTCTATGAGGTAAGTACAGTTATCTCCATTTTGCAAACAAGAAAACTGAGGCTTAGGGCTGCCCAGCGTTACTGGACCAGTGGGTACAGAGAGCTGGTCATGGAAGCCCAGCTGAGTGCCACCTGGTGCTGAGCTCCTCCCTGCTCCGTGCCATATCAGAATGTAGGCTGGCCCTCTGCATCCTGGGGGCTACACTGGGGCTACGGGTTGCAGAGGGGAGCCTTGTGTGTGGAGAGAAGTGTCTGAGTTTCCTTAAGCTTCAGACTTCTCCACTCCTCTCCCCTGGGTCCTACTTTCCCGCAGGGAGCTCTCCGTGTGCCTGGCAGTGCTCGTCTGCCTGGTGACCACCTCCCTCACCATCTTTTTCCTGTTTCCCCGGTCCATCGACACGCAGCCTGCAGGCCTCAACTCCTCCTCCACTGTGACCTTGGACGAGGCTGTCTACATCAACATAACGGTGGGTGGGTGGGTGGGTGCTGTGCCTCTGGACTCTGACCCCCCACCTTCCCAGCAAAACTTCTCTGTAGCCCTTGCTCAGTGTGGTGATCCTGGGCACCCAGAGGGTGCTGCTACCCTGTTTCCCCAAAAATAAGACAGTGTCTTATATTAATTTTTTCTCCCAAAGTTGCGCTAGGTCTTATTTTCAGGGGATGTCTTATCTTTCCATGCGCTAGGTCTTATTTTTGGAGGATGTCTTATTTTCAGGGAAACACGGTAGAAAACCTGGGGAGAAGCAGGGGCAACCCTGAACCCCAGATTGTGTGGGATTAGGATTCTCCACAGTGAAGGGTCAGAATCAGGGCCCAAGAAATAAATCACAGGGTGTAATGGGGGTAGCGTGCCTGAGGCTCCCCGGTGGGCAGGATGGGACTGGATCCTGAGCCAGATTAATGTTTTCGTTAAAGTGACTCCTCACCAGTAAGAGCCCCCAAGAGGGGCTCCTGGCACTGGTGCTCAGCAGCGGAGGTCCATATTGGGAGTGGGGCTCAGTCAGGCTTGGGGGTTTTGAAACTGACTTCTCCTTTCCCTCCCTTTCCTCGTCTTCATCCCCAGAGCATCTTGAACATCTCCAATAGCAACTACTACCCCATCAGAGTGACGCAGCTAACCATTGAGGTTCTGCACCTGTCCGTCGTGGTGGGGCAGGTGTCCACCAGCCTCCTCCTCGACATCGGCCCTTTGGCCAGCAAACAGGTGTCTCCCTCTCCCTGGCCAGCCCCGCCCACGACGGTGTGGACGTGTGGGGTGGTGGGAAGGGGGTGACGGCCGGAGTCAGGGCTGACCCAGTGCCATTTGGTTGGCAGATGTTTTATGCAGTAGCCAACAAGATCTGGGATGAAAACACAGTGTGAGTACCCCTCTGCCTCTCTCCCGCAGCCTCTTTTCTGTTTGGAAACCTGGTTTTAATCCCGCCAGGTCTTCTGATCGCTTAGCAAAAAGCCCGCCGCCAGTCTTTGGCCTGTACGCATAGCTGAGGCTGCAGCGTGCAAGGCTCCTACAGCCTCTCTCCCCGTTTAGACCCGGATTGGAATGAGGAACAGACTAGCATTTGGTTAATCCTTACAATGTGTGACCTGCTGAAGATGAATGTCATTTTCTGCTGAGGGAGTCGGGTCTGGCTTGTGCCTGGGCCAAGCCGGTTGGGATTGGTGGGGTGGTGTTGCTATGAGGGTGACGTACTCCTTAGAGGGAGTGGGGAGGGGTGGGGTGGCATTTGGGGGCCCTGAGGGAAAGGAGCCTAGAAGGTGACAAGGATGGGACTTGAGGTCTTTAAGCCCTCTGATGGCCACTCAGTGTCCAATGTTTCTCTCCCTTTCTCTCTCTCTCTCCCTTCCTCCTCTCCGCCACGCCCCCTCCTTCAGCAAAATCTGCAGCTGGCTGAAAATCAAAGTCCACCATGTGCTTCTGCACATCCAGTAAGTAGAACTTGGAGCCCTGGGCTCCCCTCTCCCACTTCTGACTCCAGTCTCCCCTCAGCCTCCCCCTGTGAGAGGAGAGCCATCCAAGGGGACCCCATGAATCTGTTCGTTCTTGGGAAGAGCAGGTCCAGCCCCCACCTTGCTCCTAATAGTGTGAGAGTCAAGGATAAACATTTTATCGCCTAAGCGTTTTATCACAGATGAGGCAGCAACCTCAGGTGCCTTAGCAGAGTGGGGAACAAAAGAACAGAAAGGGAGGGTGGGACCTGAGGGAGCCAACCCCTCCCCCCCCAATCCCCAGACAGCTGGCCTGCCCAGAGCTTTCCTCTTCCTCCCAGACATAACCACAGCCTGCTTCCTCTCCAGGGGCACCTTGACCTACATCTGCCTGAGCCATTCCGAGCAGAAGGTCTTCCAGAGCTATGAATACGTGGACTGCCGGGAAAACGCATCAGCGCCCCACTTGCTGGTCCCTCACCTCCCGTGACCTGTCTGCTGTCCCCAAACTCTAGGCACCTGCCAGCCTGGTCTGCATCTCTCACAGCTCCGTGGTGCCCGAGGATGGACTGTGGTGACTTGGCCAAAGGAGAGGCACTGCTTTATCATACCTTCCCCGACCCCCCCACCCAGGACGCACTCTGATTTCCACCGGCACAGAAGCTGCTTCTCCTAGGGCTGCCACCAGGTCTTGCCCTGGGTCTGGCTTGAGGGAAGGCCACACTTCCTACGGCTGCCCCAGGCCTTGGAGGTGCCTGAGCGTCCCTGGCGTGGCCCCTGCCCTTGTTGTTCTGAGCACCTTAGCTGCCCAGCTCCTCGGATCTGGCCATCCTCCTGCCTGAATGTGAGAAAGCGTTTTATCCAGCTCTACAGACATGAGTTCTGTCCCGGTTCTCCACCTGGTGATGGGAAAGCGACTCGGGGGCGTGCAGTGCCATCTCCAGAGTCTTTTACAGAACACGGGTGTTCGCCGGGGCCTCCCTGCTTCGTTGTGTGACAGAGTGACGGTGATGATCGGCTTCTCTCCTGGGAACGTGCCCCCTGCCCATCTGACAGCTGGATCGGCCGAGGCTCTCCATCCTTCCTGGTTACAGACTGCCCTGGTTCCTGGGAAGACAGCTCAAGCTTCTCCTCCATGAAACAGTTTATTGTTCTCTTCGCAGCAGAAGCAACTTAAAATGGCATGCACGGGAGGGGAGGGAGGCACCGGGCACCCATTGGGGAAAAACAACAACAGACAAAGCCAGAGTTATTTTAACAGACATTTATTTATTTATTCAAGGAGAGCTTCTGACAGGCGGTGAGCCCATAACCTGAGCCTGGGCGAGGAGACAGAGGCAGGCCGAGCTACTGGTCTCAGCCACACTGGGCACATCCTCCCAGAGGCCTCTGCTTTGGGCATGGACGGTACAGACAGCACATCAGCAGGGACCGGTCTTTGCTGTCCCTCAGATGAAGCTAAGCCCCGGGTCCTCCAGGTCCCTCTGGGCTCCGAGTGGAGGCGGTGTCTGTCCTTTGGCTGAGCAGAAATGGTATTTGCTCGCTCAAGGTGACTACGGTTTTTATCAGGCAGGCAGAGAGAGGAGCCTGGGCGGTGGGGAAAGCTGAACTGGAAGGAGGATGGGTGGAGAGGGGGACTGGTGAGTGGTGGGCTGGGGAACAAGAGGAAGGAAGGAGTTGTGCTGTCTCCACGTTTTCAGTCTGGGTAACTGGGTCAAAGCGGCGCTGGCAAGAGTGGGGGGTCCTGCCGAGACCGGTTTGGCTCAATGGATAGAGCGTCGGCTTGGGGACTGAAGGGACCCGGGTTCGATTCCGGTCAAGGGCATGTACCTTGGTTGTGGGCACGTCCCCAGTAGGGGGTGTGCAGGAGGCAGCTGATCGATGACTCTCTCTCATCGATGTTTCTAACTCTCTATCTCTCTCCCTTCCTCTCTGTACAAAACCAATAAAATATATATTTAAAAAAAAAAAAAGAGTGGGGCGTCCAGGAAGGCCAGGCTAGAGCTGCTTCTGTGTATAGGTTGCCAAACGAAAAGGATTTATATTATAGTCAATAAACTACACTTAATATTTAAAGAAGAAGTCTCCTGTGAGCGGGAAAGGGAGCTGGTGGACATGTCCCATCTCAGCCTGTTGTTCATGTCCCAGGTGTGTCAAGGTTAAGGTGACCAGACGTCCCACTTTTGGCCGGACAGTCCCACGTCCCACGGCGTTTTTAAAAAAAAGTCCCGATTTTGGGGACTTTTTTAAAACACTGTGGGATGGGGGACAAATTGTTAAAAATTGGGACGTCTGGTCACCTTAGTCAAGGTGTCCTCCCCAGGCCCTGAGCCCCTGGATAGCAGGTCCTGCCTTCTGGCTTCTGAGACACGGCTCCCTAGAAGCGTGCTCTCTCCCTTGCTCACGGTGTATCTCTAAGGCCCCTTCCCACTTTCGTCCTCTTCTGTGTCCTCCTAAGTCCCTCCTCAAGCTGCTCCCCTCAAACACTGCACTGAGGGGCTCCTTCAGTCTGACCACAGGGGATGCTGTGTCGCCACAATAACCGGACCCAGGCACCCCCTCACTGGTCCCGGGGGGAGGGGCCGGGCTGGAGGACCCTGGGGTCAGCTTCAGGAAGTGGGAAGGGGGACACCTGGGCCTTTGGAGCCCTTGGCTGTCTGCTCCTTGGGAAGGCTGACATCCCCTCCCCTTCCCAGGGCCCAGTGTGGTGTCCTGGTCCTCAGGCTATAGCTCCTCTTCAGGCCGAGCTCTGCCTCCATTCCTGCTCTCATCAGTCGTTCAACGGGAATGACACCGGACTGGCGCGGTCCTGCCCTGTCTGCCCCCTCTTCCCACTGCTGCCCCAGGCCTGCTCCGGTGGGAGGAAATCCCTCCTTCCCCAGCCATACCTCAGTAAGCATCCGCTAGGAGGAGGGGGTGATGGCTCATGTGGGGGCCATAAACCTGAAGCCCCAACAGCACTATCCTCCTAAAGAAAAGGGCCCGCCCAGCCTGTGTGGCTCAGGGGTTGAGCATTGACCTGTGAGCCAGGAGGTCACGGTGTGATTCCTGGTCAGGGCACATGCCCAGGTTGCCGGCTCAGTCCTCAGTGGGGGGGGGGGGGGGGGGGGCGTACAGGAAGCAGTTTATCGATTCAATGATTCTTGAGAGGTTTGCGATGCAGGAGACAAAACACAGAGTCCAGGTGACTAAAAGGGGGAGGTTTTAATCTTGAGCTTCCGGGTGAAATTCGCTGGTCTGAGGGTGGGCCAGGGAAGTTCACGCCAAAACGGGGGTGGGGGGGGTGGGGGGGGCATAGGTACTTGTTTTATACAGCTGTTCAGTGGGGGAGGGCGGAAGGCAGGAGAGGTGTGGAATTGCCGCCTGGTCCAGGAAGGCGCCAGTAATCTCTGTCACCATCTACCTTGCAGATGCACGCCATCTGCTCTGGGCTCCCCCCTGCCTCCACCTAACAATTCTCACTGATGTTTCTCTCTTCTCTCTGAAAAAAACACAACTCTAAACTTTTTTCTTCTTTTTTTCTAAAGAAAAGGGTGGAGTTGGAGACTTGGGAGTGTAAGGCCAGTTCTCCCACGGGCTTTGCCTAGAGAAGCGTGCAATTGCTTTCCGCTTCTCTCTCCCTCTCCATCCCCCCATGGATGTCGTCCCCCCCCCCCCCATGGGGCTTCCTGCCTCTTTCCCCTCATAGTCTCTCAGAGCTGACCAGTGTCAAGTCTTTGCAGGAAAAAATCATTTTATTCCAGGCTACCTCCTGTTCTGGAGGTGTGATAGATCCTCTCTTCCGCCAGTGGATGGACAGACATAAACCCCACCTGCGGCCAGACATGCCTGGGCACTGAACCACCAATCAGCACCTGCCAAATACCCTAAGCCCACCCCCCATCCCCAGTCCTAAGTCCCTAGGTCCCTAATCACCAATCAGCATGCAGTGCGCTGAGTGCCCTAAGCCCTGTCCCCTATCCTCCCCTTAAAAGTAGACCCCCGGGTGTCTTCCGGCCTTTTTCTCTCTGGAAGCAGAAGGGAGGTATCCTTCTCTCCAATAAAAGCCTGTCTCCTGGCATCCCAGTCTCTGGCTACCTTCTTTATTTAATCTTTTATTCTGGAATGCGTCAGAAGGGAGTGGCCTTCGGCGGGCAGACCTTGCCGGGTGGTGAGAAGGTGGAGTTGCTCCTGTTTCTCACTGGTGGCCAGCTGGGTCTCAGGGTCTGTGCCTGGGTCACCACTGCTGTATGTAATCCATGGCCTGAAAGGAAGGCGAGGCGGGAGGCGGACAGGTCAGTGAGCAGTTCCTGGGCCTCTTAGTTTCCGAGCAGTACGCCTTTTGAGGCCAAAGGAATCGGAGTGACATGTAACAGCCCAGGCCTCATCCTAAAAGGGCCGAGAAGGAGCCGGTCTCTAAGCTAAGCGCGTCTGTGCCTTCTCTGGTCACTGCCACATGCAGTCCTCATGAACCTCTGTGCAGGAGCTGGAATGGTCATTAATTTATGGAGGGGACAACCGAGGCTTGGAGGGTAAGTCTTGTGAGGAGGGAGTGGTGATCCTGAGACCAACAGCTTTTCTGCGGGTTTTGGCTTCCTCCTGCTCCAGCTGCCTCTATCCCAGCCAGCCCTTAAACCGGCCCCCTTGCCTGGCCGGCGTGGCTCAGGGGTTAATCATCAACTTATAAACCAGGAGGTCATGGGTTTGATTCCCGGTCAGGGCACATGCCCAGTGGGGGGCATGCAAGAGGCAGCCGACCATTGATTATCTCTCATGGTTAATGTTTCTATTTCTCCCTCTTCTTTTCTCTCTGAAATCAATAAAAATGCATACACACACACACACACACACACACACAAAGACAGCGCCCTTGCCCTAACTGGTTTGGCTCAGTGGATAGAGTGTCGGCCTGTAGACTGAAGGGTCCCAGGTTCGATTCTGGTCCAGGGCATGTATGTACCTTGGTTGTGGGCACATCCCCAGTAGAAGGTGTGCAGGAGGCAGCTGATCGATGTTTCTCTCCCATCCATGTTTCTAACTCTCTATCCCTCTCCCTTCTTCTCTGTAAACAAATCAATAAAAAATATATATATATATATATAATTTTTTTAAACAGCCCCTTATTTTGCTTCTCTGGCATTTGTCCTCTCTCTCCACATAGATTGCCAATCCCTCCACTTCTGCTTAGTGCTGAGTAAAGGCCCCTGTGTAGACATTTTTAGGGGTAAGGCAGGGGGAACGGGCCATCCAGAAGTGACTAGGTGCAGCCCTTCCTGCACCCCTGCCAGGAAACACCCTGTAGCTCCACCCTCACATGCCCCGGGCACACACTCAGACACACCGCCTGCCTGGCAGCTCCTCTGCTCACCGTGAAGCGTTGCCTCCTGGGGTAGTTACCTGGGAAGGCTTGGCCTGGTCTCCTGAAACCTGGTGATGAAACAAAGCACATGGTACTCCCCTGGCTGTTTCTGAAGCTAGAATACGGCAGAGACAGACCTACTGTGTGACTGGGAGACAGGTGGCAGCCCCTACCTGGGGCAGGGCACACTCTGAGTCCCCTCTCCCCCCTGGATTTCTCAGCGGAATGTGACTCCCTGCTCCAGGCCTCACAGGGCTCCGTGTTACTGTGGCTCAGCCTGCAACTCACATCCTACCCTCCGACCACCCTCACCCCGCTCTGTCACCCTCCCCTGGAGGGAGGGCCGACAGCTTCATGGCCCTCCTCTGCAGACGTTGGAGGCCCCCCTGGCAGTGCCAAGTTGGCACAAACACACTCGGAGCGGGTGGTCCCCAAGGAAAAGCCCCAGGTGCCAGGGAGAGCCACGGATGGTGGGTCGGTGGCTAACAAACGTGGACTCTGGCCCATCGGGCGAGGGGGTTGCAAGGGAGACTTCCTCACACTTACCAGGGTCTGGGATTTTCTGCTTTTTTGGGAGTTTATCCGTAAACCAGTTGGATTGTCCTTTAGTTTGATCGGCCCCCGTGGAGTCAAGCTGGGGACCAGGCTTTTGGGAATCCTGGAGTGTGTGCCTGGAATAGGACTGAGTAAGAGGGTCTTGGGCAGTTTGTTGCCTTGGTTGAGGCTGGGGCTGTGGCTGTGCCTGTGGCTGCGATGGTGGCGGGGGCGGGGGCGGTGGAGGGGGCGGGGGAGGTGGCGGCGGTGGCGGCGGCGGCGGCGGGGGCGGCTGTGGCTGCTTAGGCGTTGGCGGTTGTGCCTGTGATGGCCCTGGCTCCTGAGGTGATGCCTGGGAGGGCTGGGTGTGTTTCTCACGTTGGCATTTCTTCTCTGGGAGTTTCTTCTGTTCCTGGCAAGAAGCCGCCGGCAAGTAACAGCCTCCTCCCTGCCACGTGCGCACCCAGAGGCCACCCATCCAGGGAGCGGGGTGCGCAGACCCAGGGGGAGAGGTGCCCGGCTCCCGGAGCTGGAGGCTGAGGCTGGGGCTCGGGCTGTCTCCCCCGCCGCCGCCGCAGCACCAAGCGCTGTTTCTGTGACGCTGCCCCGGCCCAGCCCCTCCCAGCAAACGTCGCTCAGCACCGCCCTCCCACCCTGGCAGCTGGGCCCCCAAACACAGTTTGCAGCGCCGGAGGATGAATAGTTTTGTGCGAATGCGCTTTGAAACAGCGCTGTCCGATAGAAATGTAAAACGTGCCACGTGTCATTTTAAACTTTCTAGTAGCCACATAAAGAGTGAGAGGAGCCCTAGCCGGTGTGGCTCAGTGGCCTGCCCACTGAAGGGTCCTGGCTTCAATTCTGGTTAAGGGCACCTGCCCAGGTTGCAGGCTTGATTCCCAGTAGGAGGCGTACAGATGGCAGCCAATCAATGATTCTCTCTAATCTTTGATGTTTCTATCTCCCTCGCCCTTCCTCTCTGAAATCAATATATATATACACACACACACATATATATATATATATATATATATATATATATATATATATATATATATATATACCTGAGTTCCCTCAGCAAAGCTAGGCCTCAGCAAAGCTGAGTTACACCAATGTGTGTACACACACACACACACACACACATACACACACGAGTTTATCCAAGAGAACACCAAAGGACCTTGCTTTCCTCCTATCCCCAGCAAAACAACATTCACAGGCTGATAGACAGCTTCCTAAGGGCTCTGTCTGCCCTTCCCATCGCTGTCCTAACCCCGGAAGGACCAGGAGGAACCCGACCCCTCTCAGGCACCTTCTCTTGCTGTCGCTGCATCAGCAGCCTCCTCTGCCTACGACGGGCCTCCCAGTGGTAAGCACTGCCCATGATGGTGGTGGTGCCAGAATGCCCCAGGCAGGAGATGGGGCTGCCACTGCCCCCATTGCCCCTCACCTCTGTCCCCTCTCACCCCAACCCCACCCCACTGCCTGTCACTAAAACCACCTCATAATGTGCCACTGCCATGACAACTGGCAGGACCTTCCTCGGAGGAGGAGGGAAGTGTTCCTCCCAAGCCTCCTAGGGAAATCCATCCATCCATCATGTACCTTTCTTCTGGGCCCGGGACAGGTACCTTCCCCTGTTAGCTCTGAGTCTAAACAGGCTCCTGGGAGAATGCTGAAGGCAGCTGGCTTCTCTCTCTCTCTCTCTCTCTCTCTCTCTCTCTCTCTCTCTCTCTCTCTCTCTCTCTCCTTTTCTCCTATACTTCCTAGGACTCCAGCACCTTCATCAGGCCCTCGGCTGACCCTCCTCCCGCAAAGGTCTCTGGAGTTACCTCTTCCTCGGTCCTCCATCTCTCCCCCTATGCTGGGGAAAATTGAATATATATATATATATATATATATATATATATATATATATATATATATATATTTTTTTTTTTTAAGGGACTTCATACCAGCCCCAGCCTCAAACACTGTAGTGGTAGAGGGAGGGTGCAGGGAGCAGCCCTTGAACCAGAGAACAGTGTCTGGAGAGCCTGTCAGTTCAGGGACCGGTGTAGGGGGTCAGCTTGGGTTTTGAAGTCAAAGACTCAGATTCAGGTTCAATGTTAGTTGTGTCACTTCCTAGCCGGGGAAGACTTAGGCAGGTCATTCAATGTCTCTGAGCCTTTCCCAGGAAGGTCGCTGGGAGATCTCATGGGATACAGGGACAGTGTGTGCCCTCACAGAGCACAGAGGGCTATGGCCAGCTGGTTGCTCTACTGAGGGGACAGTGGGGCACTGAGCCTTGCTGGATCTCTTTCCTCCTTTACTAGTCCCTCCTCTTCCTCCTCCTCACCCAGGGGTGTCATCTGCAACAATACATGACAAAGGTTTCCAGATGCAGGAGATACTGAGGCTTCTCACTGGACAGTTTTTGTCCTAGAAACGAATTCTAATAACATTTAGATGGAAAATGACAATAAGAGGAAGAGAAAGGCACCCAACTTCCCGATAATTAAATGTAAACAGAACCCACTTCCTCCTTTTCACATCTCGTCCTCTCTCTTTCCCTCTCCCTCTGGAGATGCTCAGGGTGGGGGAGGCAGGCTGGTCTGAATTTAGGGAAATGTTCCCAACCCTTTGAGCCAGACCTCATGTCAGAGAAGGGGTTTTCCAGGCAAATCTGCCAACATTGTACCCCCTTCTTCTTTCCCTCTATGCGCCCGGCTCCTGCCTCCCCTGCCCACAGTCTCTCCCAAACCCACTCCTGACCTCAGACTTCCCTTCAATCCCAGAATTCTATCCCAGCACGTCCCACTGCACGTCCCACTGCACCCTTCCAGTCTGATGTTAACTGGCACTGGCCTGCGGGGGCCAGATCTGGTGGGGATCTCCCTTTCCTGCATCCAGCACGGAAAGAGAGATGAAACCGGTTCTGAGTAGAGGCGTCCAGGGATTGAGAAATCAAAGAAAGAAAGAGACAAGATGAAGAAATAGAAATAAAGCTGGGACCCAGGTGGACAGCTGTCCTCTTCTGCTGGAGAGACAGTGGACCCAGAGCCGAGTCAGACCATTTATTTATCTTCCAAAATACAAGGGGGTTTCACCGAAAAACTTAGAATCAAAGGAGCGTGGGCGGGCCCAGGTTCTATTCATTCCCTCCTTCCCGGAGCTAGACTGGATTTACTTATCAAAGCCCGCTCTCCACATCTGACTGGGATCTGACTGGGATCTGCCTGGGACTCAGCTGACAACAATTTAAAGTAAGTCCATATACCTCCCTAGGGGGCCCTCTACACTGGCCCTCAGGGAACTGTCCATGCTGCCACCTCATTGCAGACACTAGCATTTTTAAAGCAAGCCTGTTATTATCCAAGACCCAGAGTCTTTGTTGTGGAAGTAAAGTACCTATTAAAAGCAATGAGTGAGGTTAAGTAGCTGCATTATTTACTGTATTAGGTGTGCAAATGTGGTCTAGTCCCCTCTCTCTCTGATCAGTTTCCTCACCTGTAAAGTAAGGGTGATAATACCTCCACCCTGGAGATATTATAATGATTAAAGGAAATAATGCCTGTCACGCAAGGGGTTCAATAAACTGAGGCCTTTATTATTATAGTATTCCACAAATTTAAGGTATTGTGAGATAGACCATTATTTGTTGTATTCCCCAAGCAAGAAAGGGAGAAAAAAGAAAAAGAAAAAAGAAAAAAAAGAAAAAAGAAAAGACACTGCCATGTAAACAGCAGTATCATTTTCTCTTGGCATTGGATAAAATATCTCGGTTTCTGAGATATGAAGATATAAAAAAAGATCTGCATCTTGGAGTGGATGAAATCGGGCACCATCCAGTGGCTCTGTCTGTCCAACACCTGGATGACCTTGAACTTTCCATCTGAGAACCTGGGTTTCCTCCTAGGCCAGGTAAGCACAGGGTAAGGTGACTGAACTGCTGGGAAGCCCAGATACTCTTGAGGGTTGGTGGCTGCCTTTGCTGCTCCCTGCTGCCCATGCTGGCCCTGCTACCACGGAAAGGGAATCGGGTCTTGGCTGAGAGGATGATGGCACAGCGCCCTGTTGGGATTTTTTATTTTTTTTTATTTTTTAAGAATTCCTCTTTCAGTGGGTTGGTAAGAATACGAAATCCTTTAAAAAATATTTTATTGATTTTTTACAGAGAGGAAGGGAGAGAGATAGAGAGCTAGAAACATCGATGAGAGAGAAACATCAACCAGCTGCCTCTTGCACACCCCCTACCGGGGATGTGCCCGCAACCAATGTACATGCCCTTGGCGGAAATCGAACCTGGGACCTTTCAGTCCACAGACCGATGTTCTACCACTGAGCCAAACCGGCTTTGGCCTGTTGGGATTTTTTAATGTATTTTTTATTGATTTCAGAGAACAAGGGAGAGGAAAAGATAGAAACATCAATGATGAGAAGGAATCATTGATTGGCTGCCTCCTGCATGCCCCCTATATGGGATTGAGCCCGCGACCAAGGTACAACACTGGTGTTGAAAAAAAATGGCACACCAGTGGGTACTCAATAATGCAAAGGTTTTGAAGCCCAGTTCTTGGTTGAGTCTAACTTGTTTTGGAGCCTCTTAGCTACAACTCAAAAAGAAAGAAAGAAAAATTTAGCTCAGGTGTTATGGGTGCCTTCCTGTCCTCCGTCTCTCACCACCGGAAGATTCTAGAAACTGCAGACTCTCTGCAGGGACTTCGAAGGTGAGGGTGAGAAAAGAGTGGTGAGGAATTGATTCATCTGTTGGTAGTGGGAGTTGAGATCCTGAAAAATATATTCGCTGCTTCTCCCTCAGGCTCTCCTTTCAGCCACTGAATCCTGGAGCAGGACGCTCCTCAGACTTTACCATGTGTGTGCGTGTGCATTCCAGAGAGTGGTCTTAACCATCAGATTGGGGTTCAGGAGGTCTGAGGCCCGCGCTTCTGCGTTTTCAACATGCAGGGCAGTGCTGCCAGTGCTGCTGGGCAGTATCACACAGAGAGCTAAGGCTGCGGCCAGGAGTTCTCAACGCGGGGCACGTGTAGCCCCACCTTGCTGGCTGTGGCTGGAAGTCTCTTCCCCCACGATTACCAGGGGAACGGGCTATTCCATATATGATGCTGAGACAACTGGGTGGGAATCCAGAGGAAAAAAATCATCAGATCTAAGCCTGAACTCAGTTTCTGTTATATGTTTTGAAATTTTATTTGATCCTTTTCCATATCACTTCATACCATTATTATTTATTTTATTATTATTATTTTTTTTTTACAATTTCTTCCTCCGTACTTCAACTGTCCTTTGGTTCTTTTATTTTTCCCTTTCATGGATGCCATACTCTTTGGAAGCTTGTTAAGACCAAAATAATGGCCTTTTAAATTCCCTCCACGCGACTATGGGTCCACTCTGAATAAGAATTCAGTGAGGGGGGAGGGGGGCGCATCAGGATTTCAGAGATGCTCAGGTGGGGATGGCCACAGAAAGGTCGGGGACCACCGTCCCAGAGGGAAGGGCTAACCGGGGGAGAAGTGACCTTCCCGAGACCGTTTCCCTCGTGTTGGGTTCTGACGGGCATTCTGTACGCCGGCCACGTCTCACCGTTCCTGACAACCACGCCTGCTGCTGACTCCCCTCGCTCTGTACAGATGGCACATGGGAGGGAGGCAGGGGGCTCAGCAAGGAGGCCGAGCCAAGTGCCAGGTCACCGGGTCACCGAGGGGCGCAGGGCAAGGGCCCAGGTCCTCCGCGCCCACGCTCTTGGCCGCCGGGCAGGGCGCAGGGTCCCCGTCTCGGCACACACGCGGGGCCCGCGCTCGTCTAGACGGAACCCAGGCGGCCTCGGAGCTCCGCTTACGCGTCCTCGGTCCCCCAAGGCGGGCGCCAAGGCCCCTGGGGACACCGAGGCTGGGAGGTGAAGGCGCTTGGCCAAGTGCCCGGCCCACAGGGCAGGGCGGGTCCCGGCAGAGCTCTTTCCGGGGAGGGAGGCAGCCCTCGCAGGGCCCCGACGGCGGCCGGGAGCAGCTTTGTTCTCCGCAGCCCCGGCCAGGCGACCCGGGCGGGCGCTTCTCGGCAGGTGGAGTCCCGGGCCAGGACCGAGCCAGCCCCGGGGGGACCCTCTGGTCTTCCCAGCCACGAGCCGACGGCTTCCTTCGGAACTAGGGCCCCTGTGCTTCAAGCCCCGTCACCCGACCGCCGGGTCCGCCGCCGCCCAGACCCCCTGGGCCGCTTGCTCGGCCACAGCCCCGCTTCCGCTTCTGCGCGCAGAGGTGGTCCCGGGGAGGGGCCGGAAGACTCCACGGCGCCGGTAGGGCAGGCCCTACCCGCGCGGAAGAGGCGGGGCATGCAAATGAGCACCGGCCCTTTGGCCACCGCGCCAAGCGGGGATAAAACATTCCTTAA